AGGAGTACTTGCAAAGGACAGAGGCTTTGCAAAACGGCGCCTGCATTTGGGACAGGGTTGCCACTGGAAGCAGCGCTCAGCCTGAAAACGCCGGGGCGCTTCAGTTCCAGTTCCGCGAGAGCGGACAGCTCGATGATTTTGGCCGGAAATCCAGCGCTTTGGAGGCCTTTGGTCACTTTATGTTGTGTGCCCTGTGCTGTGTGGAATGGTGCATGTATGTAATATATATATATATATAAGTATATATATATAAACGTACATATATATATCGATAAATATTTATATCTACATCTATAGATAGACGTGTGTATGCGCTATATATATACATAACATATTTATATGTATAGACATATCGTTATATGATGTTTGCTTTGCCCCCTGCGACGCGGAAGTCGCAAGTCGCGGCAGCATATCTTCCACCCAAAAGATGTCTTTCAATAGGGGACCCCAAAAAGAAGCTGGGTTGTTTTGTTTTGGTTTCCCTTTCGAACCAACCGAAAGGAGGGTTCCCAAAACGAAGGACACACCTGCTTGCGAGGGGCATCCGAACGACCTGAAGAAATCGCCTGGCTGTTGGTTCGCGGTTTTGACGGCCGCCTCGCTTCACAAGCCAAGACAGAAGCAGAGCACTACGAAGCCTCGCTGGTGACAAACAGGAACAACACAAGAGCAACAGGTACAACGCCAACCACGCAACAGCTGTATTTATAATATATATATATATATATATTGTAGATTCCACGATACATCCTTATATCTTTCATTTTTTGGTGGAAGGTTTTTGGGGGCGGTTGGAATTTCCGAGCATCAAACGTGCTTCGCGCCAAAGGCGCGCAGGCTTCAAAGGCCTCGTTGGGCGAGGGATCAGAGCCGGTTGAAGCCAGGGGTTGACACCAAGCGATCAACCAACCAGCCAATCAAATGAACCAACCCAATCAGTCAATCAGCCAACCAAGCAACCAAGCAACCAAGCAAACAATCAACCCACCCACCAACCCACCCACCAACCCACCCACCCACCCCCCCACCCACCCACCCACCCACCCACCCCACCCACCCACCAACCAACCAACCAACCAACCAACCGCCAAATATCCGTGAGTATCATCCTTCACAGAGTTCCCGGTATGTGGTCAACCAAAACCAGATTGGCTTCTGCTGTCCGAGAGAAGGGATCCCTGGAAAGAATGGGAACATTTCCCCATAGACTATAAGGAGTGCCTAAAGTCGGCTTCGGATGATGGAGCACAGGCAGTGGCTGGATCGATTCATTTCAGGGGAGGGTCCTCCGGATTAATCCTGCAAGTTATTATTGACTCCAGGAGTGCAATGTTGCTTTGTAATGTTGGACCCTCTTTACATCCCCCCCCCCCGCCCCTGAACAGTGGAACCAGTCAGCTGGACCCTCTTTTGATGAAATCCTGGGGGTCTGGGAGGGACAGTACATACTTTAGTATTGCCAATTCTACTTTAGTATTGCCAAGGTCCCCTCTCAGATTCCCAGTGCTTACTTTAGTATTGCCATTCTACTTTAGTATTGCCAAGGCTGGCTCTCAGATTCCCAGTGCTTACTTTAGTATTGCCAAGGACCGTTTTTTTCAACTGATTGCCCTCACTTTTGTGTAAAGAAGTTATCTTAAATTTGATGATTTGGGGAGCACTTCAAGAAAAGGATTTCCCAATGTTTGCCTGGATTTGTTGCCTTTTTTTGCCCGACTTGTTTGCCAAGTTGTTTTGCCCATATTTTTTCCAGCGTTGTTTCCGGCAGATTCCGGCCAAAAAACTGTCCATAATAGAGGACCCCTAAAACAGTCACAGGATCCTGGGACTATGAATAAAGGAGGTGTAACATTGGGAAGGTAGTTGCAGGAATTTTCGGAAAGAGGCAGGAGATAGTGGCAGCGTGCTCATGACTCATTGTTTTACGCTGACTGTCAGCCTTCAGTTCAAGCATCAACATCCCAGACCTCCGCGCAAGCCCTTTCAATCTCCCCTGCAATTTCCAAGGGTTTCTCAGAGTTGAAAGGGAATTGGATGGACTTGAGCTTGTTTGCTCTCGGATGCTGAAGTCCAAACATCAAGGCCCATCCCTCTCCAGCGCGAGCCCAACCCCAACTCCGCATGATTCAAAGGCACGGCTGAAAGGCCCCGCCGCACGGATCTGAAAGCAGTTCCGCCACCCACAACCACCACTGCCAGAGGAAAGTTGGGTATGTGCACCATGCGCGGCGAAGTTTGAGAGGGAACCCCCGCAAGAGAGGGATGAGCATAAAGCTAATAGTGCCAACCCAACGGTCTCTAGTTATAGATGCAGGAGACAACCATGCAGTGGCTGTATAATGCTTAAGCCCTTGTTTCTTCAGGCAAGCGGTTTGTGGGTAGATTTCCTCGTAGACTCGAGCCCAGACTGAGACTGTGCCGGGGGAGGAGAAAAGAGATGGGCTGCAGGCGCTTTTACCTCAAGTTTCAAAGCGAGTTGACGGGCTCTCACCATAAATTTGAATGTTCTTCAACTGTCTTGGTGTCAAAAGAGCTTTCAAAGGTGAACAATTGAGCCATGGCAGAAGAATAACTTAGGAAACCAAGTGGATTACTAGATTCCCCTTTCAAAGGTGTTTTGAAGTTAGAAACCTGTTCCTGATGTTTTCTTGGGACATTTAAGCTGCCTCTGGGAATGAAAGGCGCCAGAGGAAGCGGACCGGAACGACCGAGCGACCAATAAAACTGAGCGACCGGGCAAGCAACTTCCATAAGAAGCCACCTGGGATGGATCGCTATTTGGTTTGTGCCTAGGCTGGAGAACCTCCCAGAGGCAAGCCTCCAGGGGATAAGAACGGCTTGGAATTTGTGTAAGACCCCTAGTTCACACCCATAGTTGCGCGATGATCAAAGCCCGCTGACCCAACTTCTTCAAAACACTAGACATTGGAAGGCCGCCTGATGTGGTTTCGAAGGGGCGAGCAAGTTGAGCAGTGATGAGTAGGATTCGTACAAAGCTTCCAATTGTAGCGGCAAGTGTGATTGCTTGGATACGGCAACTTCTCATTGCAAGACGGAGAGGTTCTTTTGACGAGGTTGTTGCCTCGCCAACTCTTTGAACTATCAATCACGTTGTTTTCCTTGGGCCCAAAGAAGAGTGGCTGAGGTGAAGCGTGCAACTTGCCTCAAGTGCTGATAGCTTGTTGCAGCCCTGTCGGGATCCCCTTTTGGCTTGACTGAAGGCAATATTCCAGAATATTCCAGATATCCAGGTTGCAAATGCTTTGCGTGAGGCTTCCTTGAAAGCATAATAAAAGCCAACTACCAAACAAGAGGCCCCCTTTGCGCCATGGTCCTTGGGGGAGCCCATTGCGGTTGCCTGCCCCTGCCACCCTTTCCAGGCCAGATTTGTTTGATTCGCTTTGCAGCTGCGCTTCTTTTTTCGATGAAAGCATTGTGGGGCTCGCGCAGGTTTTGTAGCAACCGCCTTGTTCGACAAGAACGTGCAAGATATAAAGTATGATGCAGCCGGGTGTTTCCCTTGAGCAACTGCACTCTGCCGCCTTTTTGACATCAAGACGGTTCTCATCGCCTCGCAGAATTCCTTCAAAGGCGGAAATTCGCAATGGGGCAAACCTGCTGTGGTGGTTCGCCTGGGCGTCCCGGCTTCCTTGCTCTGGGCAGGGCAAGGGTCCTACCTGAAAGGCACCTAGCCGCTTAGCCTGCCTACCTCTAGACACGGAAAGCCACTCACTCTGGATTTTCTGGCTTTATGCATTTGGGAAGGCCGCTTGGCGCCCTTTCTGGCCAACCCACTCAGGAAGTGAGGCCAATGTTAAAGTCCTCCGCAAGAAGCAATGAATGCAGTCCCATGGGCGAAGCGCTGAAAACCCATGGAATTGAGGTTGCCCTTCCTGTTGCGCAGTGGGAACGTGAGTCGGGAACCTTTATTTTTGAGTTTCCCCAATCGGGAGATGAACGCACATTTTGTTTTTCTCGCGGCGCAAAGGGGGCCTCACAAGCGTAAATATAGGACATAATCAGGCCCGCGCTAGATGGCAAGAGCCTTGAAGTCTCTCCGGCCATCGAGGCAGAGAAGCGAACCCACAGAAAATGCCACCAAGAGATGCACGAATCTACCAAACCAGGAAGGTCCTCGTGCAAAAGCAGCAATTGGCCCAGCATGTGTTAGAGCTCTCCCCTGTTGGCCTCCCTGAGGTTCCAGCAAAGCCACAGGTACAGGGTGGCCTGGTTTTGATCAGTTCTTGGCTTCCGAATCGAAGGATGTTTCAGCCCAGGACGCCAGGGCCCAAAGCACCCAGTCCCATTGCTCCGATCAACATGTTCAAGCCACAAGCTCAGGAAATGAGTCTTGAATCCTTTTGGTTGTTTTTTTCAGGACCAGCTTTCTACCACTATCGCAAGGGCTGTATTGGAGCGACCCAGTTCCGATCTAAAAACGACATGTGCCAGGGGGGGGGGGGCGAAGAGCAACGTCCAAAGGGGCGATGCGTTGACTTGAAGCTTGTCGGGACTTCAAGCATTTGGGCTGGGACGGACACGCACGATTCCACCTCAGTTGTGGTGATTGCTAGGGGTCACCTAAAAAAACAGACCACAGAAGGAAGGCCAATTGACTCCACTTGCGAAGAACCACGATCATTGCCTTGTGAGGTGGCCTTTCTGGACAAAGTCACCCAAGCAACCGAAAACAAGCCACAAATCGGCCATAAGGGCAGTTGTCAATGACATGCCCCAGGGGCATTATTTTCGTGTTGTTCGGTTTCGGGGGGACTTCAATTAAGGGGGTGTTTCCCAACAATCCCGGGGTCCAATTCCCCTTCGTTTCCCCGAAGCCACGGCCACGTTGGGAGGAATCTAGGGGTTGATTCCCCATTCGTTTCAACCATCGTTCCTTTCAAAAAGCCAGCTGTTTTCGCCGGGTTTTTGAGGAAGGGAAGGCGGTTGGATCCTAGCGCGGCCTGAGGACCGGAGTGAGCAATGAGGAGTTCGTGCTGGCCATGGGCAGCGTTGCGGGCGACGCAGCGCTTGCAGGTAGGAGGGTTTTGCCGGCAAAGCGCGGTGGACTTTGGGCTCGAATGGAATTGGATACCCCGTGGCGGATATCATTTACCGGTAGAACCGGCGAAGCCGGCGAAAAGACGTTTCGAACATGTATGAACTATATATCCGTCCAGGTCTGGGCGAGCCAAATCATGATTGGCAATAACCGTCAAGCGAGAAGCTGCTCGTAAACCCGTGAACCACACGATATCGATGTTCATCATTTTCACAGCAACCAAGTTAGAGATTCTACACCCAACAAAGTTTCCTTGAAATGTTCTTTTCGCGGTGGCCGGCTTCTTCTCGGGGATTGTTTCTTTGCGGTGTCATGTGGCTTTGGTGTCCGTGCGGCGGCCAACGGCTCAAGTAATGGTCCACGATCAAAACCGACTCGTCCAATTCCAAATGCTGAAGTGTTGGAGCTTGTGGCTTTTCTGTTTTTAGTGCTGGCTGGGCCAGAAGCAACTGTTCAATCATTTGAATCGTTTGTGTAGACCTGGCTTATCAGGATGAAAGAACATGCAACCAACTTGTGGCCGAAGTTGAGTGCCGTCCCTCGCCTTCGAGGGCAGTTTCTTTCCAACAAGGGCTGCCTTTCGCGGGGCGAGATTTGACTTTCGCATTGCATTAGCTCCCCGGCTAACGGGGAGTTCCCGTTCGAGAGGAAAAACAGGAGCCCCCAGTAATGTTAGTGTACCCTAGAGAAGGAGGTGACGTGAATCTCGCTGAAGGCAGTTGTACTGTTTGGCCAACGTCGTGGTTGATCTTTGTTTTGGCAGGCTGATGCGAGGGAGGGGGCCACGTCCTGTGAGAAGGGAACACCTTTTTTGAAGAGACAAGGTCTTCAACCCCTCGCCAGGCCTTGTGGCGTCGCTCACCAAGATGGCAGAGGAGCAATCCGCGCGACCAGCAACGACCCATCCACGTCTCTTCCAGCCTTGCAAAAGGATACCATCAAGGGGGCCTCAAAATCAGGGAGGTGCCCTTCCAAAAGCAGTTGAGAATAGAGGCCTTCAAGTTGAGACAGGCCCACCTACAACAAGCCCAAGGAAGTATGTTGCTGGCGACAGCAGCAGCGGCTCAGTCAAGCTGCTTGTCCTGGGGATGGGTTTGCCTATTCGGGTGTATCTTGTTGGAGTTGGTTTGCCCTGTCAGGTTGCTATAAAGGGGCGCCAACAGGGAACCTTGGGGTTTTCCACATTTGGAGACAAGCCCACGTTTTCATACTGCCATCCATCCATCGCTTTTCTGGGCGGATCCCTGGCAGCTGAGAGCCTGATCCCACAAAAAGAAATCCTGAAGCCTCACCAGCGAAGCTCGAAGTTTTTTGCGCCAGGACCATCCGTACTTGAAGCCGACGGGCACTGAAGCTTGGTTTCGACTTCAGCGGGAAATCGCCTGCTTTCCTTCTCCCATGGGACTTGCAGCGGCGGATGACAGTTGCCTCGCCTTCCTCAAGTGGGAACTAGAGTCATATATTGTATGTTGTTTTTTTCTTGTCGCTCCTGTTGATCCAGAAAAAAACTGGCTTATGCGAAGAAGATGGACTCTCGCGACCTGCGACTGCAACTTCAATCTGGGCACTCTTCAAGTAGATATACGCCCAGGAGGAGTGGACCCCTACTTGATGAAAGCGCAACACCCTCTGGTCAGTGGGATTCCTCCAATTTTCGAGATTGCCTCTATTGGTGGACGAGTTTGTTTATCAAAAGGCTTTCCTGTTTCCGCATTTGCGATTCGCATTTCTCGCCACGGCTCTAAAAAATGCGCAAAAGCAGAGCTTGCATTTGCTTAGCGAAACGTTAAGATATTTGGCTTTGACCATGTAGACGTACTGTGGATGGACGAAATCCTGCACCACCTAAGCAACCATGAAACACCATTGTTTGTTGGTATTTACAGGGGAATCAACATCCCAGGGTTTCTTAGGACTAATTAAGATATTGACCAGACCTGACTTGCATGCGCCCGTAGCGGACTGCATGGCTTGGGGCCAAGGAGTTCGCTCCGCACCCGCTGCTGTACTGGGTGCGGCGCTGCCGAGAGTATGCGCCACTCGGACGCGGAGTCGCGGTCTGAAAGTGGTTCAACCGAGAGTATGGACAATTGAAGGTTCGGTGGGTCTGTTCGAGTTTGTTAGTTCGGGAGTCTGCACAGGCACCTGAGCTGCCAAGGTAATTAATACACTGGATGAAACCAGAATAGGCTGACTGGGGTAGGCGAGGATACTTTAGAGTCGCGGCGCTTCAAGACTTTTGGAGTGGGCCGACAAAGAAATAACTGAACCATGTGGCTTGGGCCGATTCAAGCACTGCCGGGGCTACTCGTACTTTGCTTTCCAGGCTGGGCAATTTGCTTCCCAAATGGCTTACGGCTTACGCTGCCCTGGCTGGATTTGCTCAACAGAAGTCGGAAATTCAGAAAGAGAACCTCAGTGTATCCGGATGGTGGCTCAACGGGGCGTGCAACCAAGCCAACTCCTTAGAACACTTGATCGGAGTGCAGCCCTGTTCTCAAACATTCAATTTATGGCTTGCAAATCACAGTGAGCCACCAGTCAATGTCCATTACAGTTTACAGGTATATATAGCATAGCCATGCTAGGCTATGATATGACAATTTGGACATCCCCTTCTACCCACCACCAACGTGTAACATGCATTGCCTCACTCCCTTCAAATTCTAGCTTCCTGCTTAGCAGCAGCAGCAGCAGCAGCAGCAGCAGCAGCAGCAGCAGCAGCAGCAGCAGCAGCAGCAGCAGCAGCAGCAGCAGCAGCAGCAGCAGCAGCAGCAAGCAGAAGTAGAAGCATTTGCCGTCTCAAGAAACTTCTTTTGGCTTTGCATTGGTGAGTGGTTCAAATTAGGGGTCCTTTTAAACATGTTGGCGTCACCCTTAAAGAACGGCACGTACCCTTTGGCGGCACCAGGGTCCACAAACGGGGCCGTTGTTTGACAAGTTATTTGGCTGAGGATGGCGAGGAAGACTGACGAGGCGCAGAGTTGCCTGAAGCGAGTCAACGACAGCTTGGAATATGAGCTGGCGCAGGCGCCGGTGGTGCTTGGGATGGCGGCGGTGGCAAAAGGAGGAGCTGTTGCACGCAAGATGCGTGCTGATATTGTGGACGTATTGATGTCGACTTGGTTAACTCATGAGAAATGTGTCCACGTGTCAGAATTGGGCGGGGTCCGCTTAGTTTCAAAACCCCAAGCCGGTTTTTGAACCTGTCGTGGGTCGAGGAGAAAAGAAGCACCAACACCCGGACTGACTCGATTCCCGCTGGGAGAGGGCTTCCTGATTTTGACACCTTCCCAGTCAATGCGGTGGGTTCCCCAGAAAGGCTTGCAAGTGCAACCACAAAGCCCGGAAAACAATGTTCCCCTATTTGTTGCATGTCATGCGTGTATGGCTACTTCCGTACATTGGGACCCCCCCAAGCTTGTGTTGAATCCTCGATCCGTGGTTTTCCTGCTTGACGTACCACTGCGGAGTCCCATTTTGACTAACCCAGATTGTCATGTTAGCATTGTCAGCACGAGCACTCTTATTACCCTCCCCTCCATCAATCATGGCAGCTGACAGGGGGCTTTAAAAAGGCAATTTTCCTTTTTCGGATTCCGTGTTGGAAATATGATTCAAGCACTAAACGGATTCAGAGATACGGGGTCCGGCTTGCAAGAGAACATGTCTTAGAACTGACCCCAGGGGTCATGGGCAAAATGAGCATTCCCAGTTTGCAGTCCAAGTTTTTGGTATTTGTCAAGAGTTCCTGGTCTTTTTCTTGCTTCGGTTGCCTCTGGAAGCCTCAAGTGGCTCCAGAAAACGCACACTTGCTGGTGCTCAGCACGGGATGAAGGAATGAATCTAGGGATTCCCTCAGAGGAAACCACTAATTAGGGATGGTTTATACTGGTCATTCCATTTCTCATTCCCTGCCAATCGCCGCATTTGTCATGTCGGCTGCTGGCCGGCCAGATCCGGGACGCCTTCCGGCGCTTCGACCACGACGGCTCGGAGCATTTGGACAACTACGAGTTCAAACTCATGCGCCTCAGATCTCATATATGGCCATGGTTCAAAGCCAATGGGATTTCATTTTGGGATAGGTGCACCACCCATTTTAGAACCTATTTTAGTGAATATTGGGATGTTCACTGGGGGTACGGGGTTTTGAGCCATGGCCAATTCAAAAAAGCCCCCTGTCACTCCCCCTCACCCCCCGAAGACCTGATGGACGCACTTGGGCCAGCACCCGCTTCTAGGTCATTTTTGCTTGCATCCATGAAGGAACCCTGTGTTGCTAATAAGCGATTCAAGCTCGCCTCCCATAGCTGTTCAAGTGCCGCTCTACTCAGACGCCAAGTTGTTCTTGCTTGCTTTGGGCCTGAGCTGCACGCGACTCAAGGTGTGCCTACATTGGCTGGGGTGAGGAAGAAGCCAGCGTGATGGCTGCTTGGCGCAAAAAGCGGCAAGCCGAGAAACGGCATTAGGTTAGATGAAGCGTCTTGGGGAGTTGCAGCGCGTTTCCATGCAGATGATCCATCTTTTTCCAAGCTTCCCACCCTGCAAGATGACGAGTGTGTTGGGCAACTGTAGGCGCACTTTCCTGGTCCGCGGGCATATGCCGAAGCATGCTTCCAGCTTCTTTCATCCATGCATCCATGTGCCATGTGTTTGCATTTGTTTAATGATGGTTGCGGTTTCCTCAACAGCGGTCAAAGGCTACGTTCGTTGTTTCATGTGTTTTCGACACCGCGTGCAGCCCTGCGGTCCGCCAAACAGTGAGAAGGGAAGATTGCAAATCAGGGCACCAAAAGTAACACACGCGTGCCGTGTGTTGCATCTTGCAAGAGTCGCAGCGCGCATTAGAGCAAGTTTGCTGGAGCCCGCGTAAGGTCACCCAAAAGAACGGATTTACGGCGGTTGAAAGGGGGAACACTGTGAGCCTTGTATTTTGGGGCTTGCTGTATTTGCTGCCATGCCTGATGACTTTTGGTTGCATTCTGTTTGGTTCCATCTTTGTTAGCTATCAAGGGAACGGAGCCAAATGCATTTGGGCGTTCTATAGCCAGCCCAAATGGGAAATATTAGGTATATTCGATGGTCCCTGGGTAAGCATCATCTTCATGGTGTGATGCTGCCACCAGCAATTTTGAGGGCGTTGCTCGGGGGTCTCCACGACTTGTTGGAGTTAGCGGGCATTTGAAAGGGTCACTGAGAGGAAGCAAACCATTTTCTCTATTGCCCAGTGGTGCCCTTTTTTCCTTTTTTGGGGTAAGGGTTCCCCTTTAAACTCAACCAACCAAAAAAAGGTGCCCTTTTTTCCCATGGCCACTGGGCATCTGAGTTTTTAGTGTCGCCTAGTTTAGTTTGATGCAACCCCCGAAAGACAAGCCTTGCATTCTTTTCCTTTGTGGGCGTGGGGCAGGGGGCCGAGTGTGGGGCATGAGTTGGACCGCCCTTTTGTTTGGTGAGGAAATGGCTAACCCCCACAACGCTTCCCTTTTTCTACCACACCTTACCGGTTTCCCTCAAAGAAGGGTGAAGATGGATGAACAGGGTGCGTAGAGATCCCTGCATTCAGGTTTTAAGGCGTTGTTCTAGAATGCACAGATGGATGACAAGTTTGTTTGCTTCCTAAGCATCATTGGACCCTCCCTTACAAGTTTGGAAGGTTGACCTCAAAATGGGCGTTGGGAAGAACCTCGTTTGGCAGTACCTGGTTTGGCTCCCTCTGACCCGAATCAAACATGGTTGCTCATGACCCTCCATGACAAGGGTTCGGATTTTGGGTAATGACCCCCTTTTTGTTTGATCCGGCCCAGGTAGTTGTTTTCTAGGGGTACCTTCCCCATTCTTTCCAGAGATCCTTCTTTCCAGGAAACCATCAAAAACTCCAGGGAAGCCGCTGGTTTTTGAAAAGAACGATGGTTGAAAAGAATGGACAAGGAATCAACCCATGAGCGACCCTTTCTCAAAGTGGAATAGAAAGGCCATGGTATGCCTACTAGCTCCACCCACCAACCACGAGTAGGACAAGGAATCAACCCCTAGTTTGAACCGCCAAGGGTCCGCAGGCCGGTTTGGGCTGCAAAAACACACCGGTTTTGGCACCAACTCCGCAGAAAGAAGCACACACACACACAACAACGGAACGGAATTTCCCCATGTCAAATGGACCAAGACGAGCCCAACACAACCACTCAAACAACGCTTAAGACGTCGACGGCAGGACTTGGACAACGACCAGAAGGTGACGCTGGCGGAGTTCGAGCGCTTTGTGGGGCACATGGGAGGCTTGCAGCAGCTCTTCCAGCACCGGCGCCAGCGGGCGCGGGCCTCGTTTGCCCCGCTGGCCCTGGCGGGTTCTCTGGCTTTGGGGGCGAAGATGTGGCCTGGCGAGGCCTCCCCAAAAAAGAAAGAGCGCATTTTTCAACAGGGGCCACCCTCACTTCGTGAGTTCCTGGACTTTAGTTGCTTTTTGGGAGCACCATTTTCGTGGCAAGCAAAGTGTTTGGACTTTCTTGGGCAAATTACTAGCTCAGTTTGTGAAGGGCCTGGCAAGCACTGGGCGCCTGAAAGCAAGCACGTTGACGGATTCTCAACAAAGGGTAGATTTATGGCATTTTTGCAGGACATCATTTTCGTAGATCCAGCGGAAAGGCAGCCCCAGGATGAGCGTTCGGTGACCTACTATGTATCGCGGAGTGGTTTATCCCCCTCTTTACGCCGCTGCTAATTAGCATGGAACCCAGCCATCATTTTCAAAGGAAGCTCACTTTGGGGTTAGCTCATTTTAGATGGGCAACACCAAACTTGAGGGCAAGGAGAACAGCTCTGACCAGTGCTTCTTCCAGCTTGTTTTTGATTTACTTTGCGTGTTGAATTGTTGGGTGTTGGCTGTTTGTTTCAACCAGTGATCTTTGAGCCGGTTCTTTGGAATGCTATTAGATCCTCGAAAAGGGGGGCGCTTTTCCCGGCTGGGGTGGGGACAAGATGCCGGGCACTGGGCCCGGACTCATGACACGGAGCTTGTCTTGCCCAGGCAAATCCATCTCCGACCTTTTAGCGAGTGACCTGCTGATCTAGTTCCATGGCCCCACAATCGGGTGGAAGTACATACCCCTTGTTCCTACCCCTTGGCTTCCCTGGTTTCCAAGCCACATTATAGAAGGGGTATGTACAAGCACCCCCGGACACAAGCTGATCAAGGTTCCATTTAAACTTGGTGCGAAGAAGTGTCGAACGCCGGGGCCCGGCTTCCGCGCCGGCGCTCCATGTCGATGTGGACAGCGATGGTTCGCTTTCAACCGGCGCAACGGGCTTTCTAGCTGAATTGGCTTACACGCCAGGAAGCGGGTTTTCGGGATGTATTCAAATCTATTTATAAAAAAAAAAAAAACAAGAAAGAAAAACATGGCCTTCACCCTTGTTGGGCAAACAAGCCAGGCCGCCCCATGGCCTTGACAGGGGATACTCAAACTGAACGGAGTTGCGCGGGGTGTCCTAATCTTGGGGGCGCTCGGTCAGTATGTTTTCAGGGCAACCGGTCTGTATTTTGTCTATGTTTTGGAAGCTCTCTTCTTGCTTCCCTTCTGGAGCCCCTTTCTGGGTTCCAGGTGTTTGTGGTCGTTATGTGTCCGGCTTTGCCCTTTGAGCAGATTCATTGGGATTGCGTTGCCAGCAGCAGGGCATAGCGAGGCACCTCCCTTCTTTGGAAGGTGTTAAAGGGGCGGTGACAAGAAACAAACCATGCAATGGGGTTGTTTCCTACGCACCTACGCAGAAGGTGCTTGTTCAAGCCTCTGAAATTTGAGGTGGCCCGGAAGCAATGGGGCCTTGACGCGCCCGCAATCATTGAGGCGGGCAGAAAGCGGCCTTTCATTGTGTGAAGGGTATGATGCCAACGGATTAGATGTGGTTTGCACAAATTCGTACCTTTTGGAAGGTGGGGGAAGTGGGTAATGGGGTGGGTGCCGTTTCTGGTTTCAGTTTTGGTTGAAAACTAGTGGCTTCCACTGGTTGAAAGGATGCCGAGGCCTTGACCCGCTTGCGCAAGAGCCACGCCTCCAAATCGAGCCTTCGAACTTCCGGTTTCTTGGGTGTTGTTTGTACCAGACTTTAGCCACATGTGGCGCTGGGCCGCGGCAACGCGATGCATCCCTGGAAAAGAAAACACGGAACGGTACGAGCTTTGAGGCAGCTTCCGGGCGAGAAAGGATGTAACCTTGGAGCAGGTTTCCTTCCATGCGACCAAGCAAAGACGATACTGCTAAGGGGGGTATGATGTTGAATGTGAGAGCGCAAAAAACAGAGCAACTGAAAGTTTCCCCTGCGAAGTTTGAGAGTCTGTTGGGCAAAGGCTTGCACTCCTGGAGCCGAGATTTTTGATTTCACAACCAGGGGGAAATCAGCTCGTTCCCTCCCTCTTGGCAGCAAGCTGGGCAAGACGGGCAACATAATGAGTGGGAATTCAGCAGCGACAAGCTGAGACCGCCAGAGGTGCTCAACTTGCTCTTCTTGAAGTTGTCTTGTTGCTGTGGCACAAGTCAAGATTCGGTGATGCTGTCGCCATTTATGCGCTGCAGCTGGGCCTCATGTTGAAGCCGCCTACCTCAGGGAGTTCTTCATTGCCCATGCCCGTTTCAAGATTACATGCAGAGTTTGGAGTAAACTCAACATGCTGGAGGTTTGGAAGACGTTGTTCAAAATCAATCCTTAATGCTTATGCCGTCCAAATCTCTGGGACCCGGAGAACCGGCCTTCTGTTCGTTCGGCGTCTCGCCTTCTCGTCGTCTCGTCGCGCGCTAGGTGGGGGCCCGGGTCCAGAGCTACTACTACGAGGATTCCAAGAAGAGCTCCTCGCTGCGGGAGGCCCAGGTCCTCGAGTTGAACGTGGTGCCCAGCAACGGGGCGCCTTGAATCGGACATCGGACGGAGTCTGGCGAAATCATGTCGGTGGCTGCTGGGGGATGGTTCGGGAGGACATGAGCCTTGCAACCAAGGCGCACTGATTGGATCCCGTTGAAGTGGCGGTTTAGGAAAGAATGGTTGCTGTTGTTTGATTGTAGGGTCTTTGGGCGCGTTTGGTCGGCAATTTAATCCTGCTTTTTGTTTGGTTTAGGCTCGATATGTGTAGGGAATGAAGGGGGTCATTTGTCTTGTGCTGAGGGGAGGGGGGAAAGGAAGGAGCAGGGTTCAATGTGCCAGTGTTCTAGTCGGAATGTATGTACATATTACACATACATATAGATATTTACATACATAAGAACAAAACAGCAATTTGAGTCTGTGCATGTGTTTGTCTCTGTGTCCACACGTTTCTTGGTTTGTGCTCTCTCTCTCTCTCTCTCTTTTTATCTTCTTCTCTTTGTCTTCCTCTTTTTCTTTGTCTCGGTCTCTGTCTCCGTCTCTGTGCGTGTTTGAGTGTGTTTCTCACTGTGCATCTTTGTGCGTGTGCGTGTCGGAGTTGTGTGATATCTCTCCGCGTGTGCATATCTATGTATATATATATATATATGAAGCACCGTCAAAATTACTTCTGTTGAGTTTAGTGTTCGTCGTTTCGTTGATATTGTGAAAATGCACAAAACCATGGCAAACGATAGGGGACTCTCAAAGTACGTAGCGAAACGGCCGTAAGTAAGTAATTTTGACCGTGCCTCATATAGATACAGATATAGGGAGAGAGACATGTGTGTGTGTGTGCACGATGTGTCGTGCACGGGTCCGTGTGCGTTTGCGTGCGCAGGTGTGTTTGTGTGTCTAGTGTCTGTGTGCCTTTGTGCATTTTGTGCACGTTTGCCCGTGTGCCTTTGTGCCTGTGTGTTTGTGTTTGTGGGTGTTTCTGGGCCTGTGTATGTGCGCATGTCTCTTCATGTGTGTGTGTGTGTGTCTGTGTGTGTGTGTGTCTGTGTCTGCGTCTGTGTCTGTGTCTGTGTTTGTGTGTGTGTGAGGGTCCGCGTGTGTGTTTCTGCATGTGTGGGTGTGTAAGATTGTCTTTGTCTCTATGCGTGGTTGTGTCTGCTAGTGCGTGGCTGTGCTTGTGTTGGTGCATGTGCCTATGTGCGCTTGTGCCTGTGTGTGTGTGTGTTTTGCATGTTTTGTTTTTGCGTGTGTGTGCGCGAATGCGTGTGTGTGTGTGGTATATGTGATGTTGTGTGTTTGTGCATTTCTCTGCGTGTATGTGTGTGTGTGTGTGTGTCTGCGTGTCTGCGTTTCTGCGTGTCTGCGTGTCTGCGTGTCTGCGTGTCTGTGTGTGTGTGTGGGCGATGTGTGCGAGCCTGTTTGTATCTGTGTGTGTGTGTGTGGGTTTGCGTGTGAGTATGTGTGAGTGTTTGTGTGTCTATTCATGTGCGCGTGTCAATGTATTTCGCTGCCTGGATTTTCCAGGCGATGCGTTCAAAGCCATTTATTTGGCAACTGGGGTTATTTGGGTATGGGCTTGAGCATCACAACGAGCGCTCTCACTTTTCGACTGAGGTACGGCTTCTTGGCTGCAGCTGGCAGCTTTGTGCAATATGTGCAATCAGAAATGGGCGGGCAGGGCTGATTGATTGAGAAAGCGGCAATACATCACTTTGCTGCCACAACACCGTCAGATTCCCGCGGGGGCGTTTCCCAGTATGGCAATGCATGGTAAGGGGGCCACCTTCTAACATGATTGTGGACGTAGATCTCCATGTAAATGATGTCCACCCTCGGCTTCCGGTTTTTAATTTACAACCATTCTCACTCCCAAATGGGAAGGCTATTACCGTGGTAAGCGGCAGTTTGGATTTGCACAACCAATGCATTCAAGAATTGAGCATATACATGATCACACCCTTCACACACACACACCACCCCTCAAACACTGCTTGGGAAGACCAACGCGGACCAAGACTGGGGGTGTTTGCTCGGGGAGTGGAAGGAGCAGCTTATGCCAGCGGCCAGCAGCTCATTGCGTCGTCCCAAGGCTGGCCTTTGGCTTTGGCGAGGGCGCAGATGCACGGCAGGAGCAGCAGGCCCGGCCGGAGCGACAAGCTCGCGATGCGAGTGGACACGGCAGGTGCTAGTCGAAAGACAGGCGAAATTGTGCGGAGGGTTTCAACCGGTCTGTTTGCTTTGAGGGTACTTTGCTTTTTCTAGCCTCTTAGGCAAAGTGAAGGCCTCCTCTTGTTTGGGAGTTTTCCCGTTTTGGATTTTGATGGGGTGGGCCGGTGTGGTTGTTGATTGTTTGCTCCTAGCCGTCCAGGCTTGGCAGTTGTTGTGCTCTTGCTTGAATCTGAGTCTGGCGCAGCTTCTTTTGTTCCTCCAATTGAATCACCACATGCGGTTGCCTCCGCAGCAGTTCATCAATGAGACAGGGCCCCTGAACAACGTACACACACACACACATTCCCAACAGTCGCAACGTTGTGAGACTGCTTTTCGTTTCTCAATGTGGTCATGCAGCCCTAACCCCCCCCCCTGCCCCAAGAGCCAAACGGGTGGGTCAACGCCAGACTAGCAAGCAGACATGCCAGCCTTTGAGACAGTTTGTCATGTTGTGAAGGTTCAAGTCAAATCATCGGGACCCTCATCTCTCACCAAGCGCGCTTGCGAGCAGCGATTTCGTTCAAAGACCGCGCAGGTCGTGCCGCCCAACTGGATCTTCAGCGACACCCGCGACAGCCACCTGGCAAGCTAAGAGGCAGACATCTCCTTTTGACACTTTTCACACCCCTACTGCCAATAATGTGTTGTGGCATTGTTCTCCATCGCTGAGGAGGTTCCACTATATTAGCCTTCTTGCTTGTGGTACCTGATGATGGTACATTTGGGCCGGACCCGTTAGTCGATCTCGGGCAGAATGCGCAGTGGCTGCCGTGGATGTTGCTTGGCCCTGCTACAGCTCTTCAATTTGCAGCTAACGTCCAGCCAACATCAAGCCCTTCCAGCTGGTACATGAAGTCCGCAAAAGAGCAAGACACAGATGGCCCAAGGTGGCTGGCAGGAGTCGGCCAAGGCCCAAATACGGAGCACAACTTTCTGAATAGACAGCTGGGGAAATATTCCTCGCACGAGTTCCCGCGGTCTTAGCAAGTTCATTGTGGCTGAAATGGAGTGGTGCCTCATAGCCTTTTCTCAAAGAGGGCCCTTGCAAGGCCTGCTCGCCAAAAGTCGTTCCTGGACCGCTGTCCGGCTCGCAGCACTTGAAGTGAACTCCCCTTGGAAAGGGCCAGACAAGGTTGCCATCGCTTCTGCCATCAGTCATCCTATACATAAGAGAAAACACAATATTATGTATACATTCTCGTTGGCTCATCCCACACTCTTTCCATCTTTCTCCCCTTCAGTTCTCGGCCGCTTGGGGCTAGTTGGTGCCACGCAAACCCGAGGTGACGTGGTGGCGGCGCTCAGGGAGGTGGGAATCCTGGAGGACTGAGCCAAGTTGCGAAGCGGTCATCCAACCCCACAGCTTTACCCCAGTCAAGCCTCGCACGAGTCTTTCTTTTGACTGTTTCTGGGGGAGCCAGAAAAGGTCGCTTTTTCTGGTTGCTTCCCTTTGACCTAGGTGACTTTGATGGTGCAATAGTGCGACCAGTTGAACAGCTAGTTAGCTTCTCCTAACGGAATGGATAATTACTTTGCCCATCAGACTCCGATTGAGAAGCCAGTGAATTTGGGAGGAGCGTGGGGCGACTCGCTCCAGTCAATGCTAGGGTCAACTTGGGAGGGCTCTATTTTCAGCTGCCCCTCTAGGGCTACCTGATAGCGCGATACGCGATAAGTTTGTAATGGCCTTTTGCTTGGCATTCCGAGCAGTCCCCTGGGACCGTTTTCTGAAATGGGAGCGTTCCTGCCGTTGTTTGATTTGATTTGTTTCTACTTTAGGACAACGAGTGAATAGCGATATTGGCAGCAATTACTCTTTGTTCACCTAAGGCTGTAACAATGGTCGAATCAGCGGTACAAACGGCGTCCCGAATCAATATGGAGTGAAGTGCCCCCCAATTGGCGACTTGTTTGCGCGGGTGCACAGGCCTGGGTCGTGACCTGAAAACCCACAGGGCCTGAGGAGGTCTCTGAATGCAGGCAATGTCTTGCATATTGAGAACCAAGACTCAAGACCACCTGAGCTAGTTTTCCTCCATTTCTCCTCCTTTTTCCCTTCGTGGCTTTTCCCGCCCACCCCCCCCCTCCCTCAGCACCTCTTCTAATTAAACGAATGCGGCTCCCTGTTCTTGTTCTCACTGGACGGCTTTGGGCAAATTATGGCAAATCCCTCGAGGTGAGACTGCGACGTCGCCCGTGCTGATGGCTTCTTTTAAAGGGGTTCCTCACCTGTGGCTGGTGAACATTTACATTTCACCCATCTTGTTGTCATTGTTATTCTTGCTAGTGTTGTCATAGCTTGTGTTGATGGCATTGCTGGCCCTTGCTTGTCATTATTGATCTTCTCTTGCACTATTGGTATCGCCTTTTCTTTGGGCCAACGGTGCGGCAGTTGTCACACAGCTGCCATAGGCCCCCCCCCCACAAACCTACCCCTCCGAAACCCACCATGAACAGATAATCCACCAATCCCAACAGTCGCCGATCGTTGTGCTTTTCGCATTCGCAGCATGGATGTGGCCCATGGCTGGTCTTCGGTGTGCCCGAATCGCCCCGCAGGCCTTTGGAACCAAATGGCGTTTCCACAGACCAGCAAAAAGGTCACCCCTCCTGCCACCAACATAGCACCTGTGGGCACCTGGCAGATCAACTTCTGTTTGGACCCCCGTCAGTTGCCATGGCAACGTGGGAGGGCAGACCTTTTGCGCAGGGCTCGGAGCAACGCCGAAGGAGCAGCAGGGCTTTTGGGCCTCCATCTTCCCGCAGAGCGAGATGCGAGCGGTGCAGAGGCTCACATCCTGCCAGCACCTCCGGCGGAGATGGGAACCGGCGTTCCCTGTCTGTCCCCTTTTGGCGATTTTCGCCCTCAGCTTTGGACCGATTCAGAGTGAGTTTCCCCTTGGCGATGTGTTTTGTGGAGATATGGAGAAACCTGGGGGAAAGGGGAAGGGCAAAGCCAATCAAGGTCTTTCCATCACTGGCCGCTAAACGTTTGATCTACAATTTGTGTCCCAAGCGGAAACCAGCAGTGGATGGGCATGGAGCAATTTTCCCAGGCCCCCCCTCAATTTAACCCCCACATCAGATCTACTTCCGTCAAGGTGATGTGGTCCGGGGCAGGCAGGCAAAGGCCCCTTGTCGGATCGTTGCAACGGGTTGGCAAAAGCACCATGTGAACATGTGCGCTGGGCAGGGGATGAAGCCCAGTAGCGAGGAGGCCACTTGGTTTCCCTTGAATCTACCTATTGCGAGCTTTTTTTTAAAGAAAAACGAGCTCACCATGAGGCAGGTCCTTTTCTGGATCCATGTTTTTGAGGTTCCGACTTGTTGTAGAAGTTTTGCACATCAAGGACATAGCCGAAATGTGTGCTTGTTAAGCCCGACGGCCATTGGACGATTGCTGTACCAGTGTTTGGGGGCCCTTCCGTGCAAGGTGCGGAGTGCTGGTTCGATGTTCAAGTTACGTCACATGATTGCAGGTGAGCACTTGCCCAGGAGAGCGAAGCTAAGCTTTTCCGCTTCCATGGGTAATTTACTGATAGCCATAGCTCTTTGCATTTGTCCTCTTGTGGTTTTCCATCACTACCAGCAGCAATTGGCAGGAGAAGCTTCAAAGCGGCAAACGCCTACCTAGAGAATGCGCTTCCGGGGCAGTTGTTCGCACAGGGATCCGTGGCTAAGGCGGGCGGCCTTGTCCAACGTGCGGGCAAACGCGGCCTTGAACCACGCTGCTCGGGCGGAAGGGCTCAGAAGAGGGTAGGTTCCTTTGGAGGCTATTCAAAGGATTGTTTGACGCCGGTGGGTTGCCTGCATGTGTTTTTGTTTTTTCTTCCCGGCGGTTCGGTCATTTGCACCCACATGGAATCTTGAAGTCCTGAAATCTAACGTCTTCCTTTCGCGGTTGGTTCCCGAGAGAAAAGAATCTCATTGGAGTGGCCCCAAACAATTCGTTTCTCCAGACAGAGGTGGGGGATTTGGGGAAGGGCCGGAACCCAATGAATTGGATCAGGTAGCTGGTTGGTGCTTTGGATTGGTTTGGTGATTTGAACCCTGATTCTTGCAGGGGGTAAATGGGACACCACCCCCTAAAACCACCAAACCGCTAATCCAGCCAAGTAGAGGGAAGCTGGATAGAATCTGACATCTCCCTACAAGTAAATTCCCCAGAATCCCCGCTGTCGCGTTGAGTGGCAGCACATGGGCTGAACAAAAATACCCCGCGCCTTTTCGTTATGTAAGGGGCCGTCCCTTAACTTGTTTCGCAGGCCAAAACCATTGTAAACCGATACAGAGGAAGAAAAACCGACACCCCCAGAAGCCATGAAGACACACATCAGGTCCAAGATCGCGGAATCATAAATTTGCAGGGCCCAAACCGATACCCAAACCGATACCCAACCGATACCCAACTCAGTGGCCGCCACGCCGAATCCAACCAGCTGCCCTGCAGCCTTCCCTGGAGCTGCCAAAATGCACTTCGTGTACCACATTTGTACTGAAAATCTTACTTGCACTGAAAAGCTGCGATTTTCGAGCCGGAGCTGCCAAAGTCTACTGCGCATACTACTGAAAAGTTGCAACTTTCCAGCTGGAGCTGCAAAATGTACTTTGCGTACTACACTTGTACTGAAAAGTTGCGACTTTCCAGCTGGAGCTGGGAGCTGGCAGAGTGTACTTTGCAGACTACACTTGTACGTAAAGTCACGACTTTCGAGCTAGAGCTGCCAAAACACTGCAAACCGATGCAGAGGGAAAAACCGATACTGACCGATACTAGGGCATAAGAATACAAGGGTTGTCCACGGGGTTGTTTTTTCAACCCACATGAGCTCTGACTGGCACCCTTAATGAAAAATAGTTGAAGGTCTGATTTTGATTGGCACACGTATGCGTGGCTGTTCTTTGAACAAGTTTACCTTTGCAGACACAACAACTGAGGTTAGGTGCTCTTGCCATTGCCAGGTCAAGCATGAACGCCAGGCAGAGCACATGCGAGTTAGAATGATTACCCCACCTCTCAGAATGTATGGAAGGGTGTGCCCCAATAAGTGACCTTTTTCCATACATGTTCCCTTTGTGGGCGCAAGGGCCAACCATGTATGGAGAGCCAGCCCATATCTTTTTGTCCACATTTCATGTTCACGGACAGGGCTTGCCCACATGCCATGACCCAATGGTAAGTTAGTGCTACGAGCAAGACAACAACCTTTTTTGTCAACAATTTTTGTGAATACTTTAGAGGACCCTTTTGCGTAGCTTCTGGGTGTCAGACGCTTCAATTAGGGCTCCCGCACGCTGGGTCACCTTCCGAGGACAAGGCGATGCCTGAGGTGCGCGAACGCTTCACCAGGCGGGCGCAAGCAATGGGCTTAACGGCTAAGGCAGTTACGTGCGCAGCATGTCTCCCATAGACTTGCTTTTCACCTTGAATACTATTGGGTTGGATCTTTAGATTCTAACTTTTTGGGGAAATACAAGTGTTTTCCACTAAACCCCCAAAAAGTTTCTCACTTTTTGCAGGGGGGGGGCAACAGCAACCAAGTCCTTCGACTCCTTTTGCGGCCCTCGGCTCCGTCCGTCAGGCTGGGCTATGGGGAGCCGGAGCTGCAGGGAGTGCTGGGCTGGATCCAGGACTTGGCGCCGATGCGCCGTGGCTTGCGGCACCCCGAAATCCGTTTCGACCGACCCGCACCACGTGGGTATGGGTCAAAACTAAACAGGGCTCCTTAAAAGATCTCCATTTTGCCACCATTTGAAAGATGTCGCGCTTCCCACCAAAATAAGCGGAAACCACCATTGACAAGGCAATGTTCAGGTGTATACTGTGAGGATCCCTGCTAAACCACCTGGAAATGGACCACAGGTTTTAGTCCATGTTTCCACCCTATTTTTTGACCCACAGCCAAATGAAGCCATGGTTGAAACCGTGGTTCGTTCGTTGGCATTTAAAAGTTGGGGAATCGAATCACGAACCGTGGTTCTTTGGTATTTGCGTTGGGGAATCGAATCATTCCTATAGTTTCTTGGGTTCTTGGGGGTGCCTAAGAGGGCTTTCGTCCATCCACAGTATGTTTGTTGGATTTTGGTTGGCCGCTCCACGCAGGAAGGTGGGTCGAAAATGGCGCACACGATTTACATCGAAGATATCACAAGATATGGTCCAAACACAGGGCGGTGAATGTTGGAAAAATGTCCTTTGGTGTCCCTGTGCTAGGGGCCACAATTCTCTTCAACAATTATGGTGGGGATAGGGGACTTCCTGTGAGGAGTTACGAAAAGCAAAGCGCGCACCTGGAGCAAGTGAAAGTTGTTTGTCAGCACTTGATGCCACTTGCTGCTTGCTGCCACCATGCATACAAGTGCAGCCGCTGTCTGACTCCTAAGATGTCAGGCGACAAAGCGCACATCAATCTGAGCCAGGCGCTTTCCCAGCATCAGCCCCAACCCGCAGAACACACCGAGAAGAACCACTAACCAGCACTGCAGCGTTTGTAACTGCCTCCTTCCATGAGCGGCTCAGGTTTGCCAACTCACCTTGTCGGCAGTTTGGGTTTGGCTGCCATTGTTCCAGCACTGGCACCTCCAATGCTGATTTCGAAAGCCGCAAACAGCAAGAAGTTTTATTAGCACACTTCCCATGACGCCAACACAAGCAGCTGCAACCATCACTTTGGGCTCAGTAACTTTCAATTGCGTGGAAAGCCTTGCTTCGCTTCATGATTTGTCAGCTGTTCGGGCCAGTCAGCTGAGTATTTGCGGAGGGTTCACGGATGCATTTTGCACATTTGTGGGACGCGGCAGGGTGTTCGACTCGGCCTTGTCCGGATTGGTTGACCACAGTGCCAACTTTTAGTCCAGCTCTTCTCGAGCAAAGCTTGTACATCGACCCTTGGAGAGCCAACACTTGCGAGATGTTTGCCTGTGCTCAGGTGCATCCATATCCACATCGGCTCTGTGGGCCGCTTTCTTGAGACAGACGAGCTGCTCGCCTGAAAGGCCGTTCGCCCCATCTTTGCCCCTCACGTGCTTAGCCGGGCCACGGATTGCCCATCAACAGTTGTAGGGAAACCCAACGGGGCCCTTAGTTTGTTTTGGATCCAAATCAAGGCTTCATGGCACTGCTGCAGGCAGCGAACAGCATTGTTTCGAGGTTCTACAGGAGCCAGTTCGAGACCGGAACCTCCTGCGGTGCTTTGGATGACAGGAACGAGATCCGCAAGGACCGAGGGGCCTGCTTTCCATGAAGCTGTTTGGGACACAACCCCTCGCTCATTTCATGCACCTCGGGTGGGCGGGCCATTGGCGACAGCATGCGTGTGGTGTAGAACTCACCGTGTTGATCAGGTTGATGGGGCAAGCTACGGTTTAGGTCTTCATTCAGATAATTTTATCACAGCTTGTGTCGCAATGGGTTTAGCAGGCAGCACTGAGGGCTCTTTGCGTCTGGCTCGAATTGGTGGCTTTGATCAGGCTCTTTGGGTCAGGCTCTTTCGGTTTCTTGTCGACGGGCGGTATCTCCACCCGTCACTTAGTTGAACTCTCCGGCAGCATCCCGACTAGCACCAACGGGCCGCAAATCTTGTCCAGGCGTCTAGCGTTTTACTGGCCTGTTCTTGGCAGGGAATGAGGGAATGGCGTGGATTGGAACCACATAAGTTAAAGCCTCTTCATGTTTTGCCTCCGTTCCCACAATTGTTCCCCTACATGCGCTTCCGGCTTCCATCAAGCCTCTTCGAGCCTGGTGAGGACTGGGAGAAGGAGCTTTTCGGCGGGGCCTACGATGAGGCGAAGCCCTTCGAGCGGTGTAAGTACGGGGCCCTGGGGGTGATGAACGACTACCGGGGCATCACCTCCGCCTACCAGCGCCATGGCTGTCGACATATTTGAGAAGGCAATATGTGGAAGGGGGGAACGACTGGATTGCAATCACAAGCCAGCATTTGAACTGACTGCCTTACCACGTTGCCGGGGCCGCACGCACACACATACGCATGTATATACGTGTATGTATGTATATATATATATATGTATATATTGATATGTAAATGTATATATATATATATATATATATATACATACATACATACATACATACATACATACATACATACATACATACATACATACATACATACATACATACATACATACATACATACATACATACATACATACATACATACATACATACATACATACATGCATACATACATTCATACATACATACATATGTATTCACATTGTGTATTGCTTCTTTAAGTCTTTAGTATGTTTGCTTAGTTCGTTGCAAGCATCATATCAAGTGATTTTTGCTAGGTCCTGACACTGAGGACCCTTTCGGTTGGTGCTTCGCCCAAGGGCGGGAATGTTACCACATTCGTGTCTAAAACGGACGGCCCACCAAGGTACCTGGGGTTCCCAAAGACGGCAAGAGTATATTTTAGGGTGGACGAACTACCAGTGTTTATCAAGAAAGTGGGCGCCTAGAATGGTTGGTTTCTTTTGGCTTCCCTTTCTTTGGACGCCAACCAAAGGGAGGGGTTCACCGTCTGAGAAACACATATAAAACAGAGCCTGAATAGCATATCTGTATCCCACTCCTCCAAATCCAAGCTACCGAACTTCTGTTTAGGACACTTGTACCCACTTTTGGGTCCAACAAATTTCGACATGTTTCCCCAGGGATTTGGAGACAGCTTTGGTGCACCCGCTTACCTGGGCCAAGGTATGGGGACTCCTACCTGGTGCTGAAGGACGTGCGCCTGCGCACCACCTTCGCAGCCACGGACTCGGGGGGCATTCAGGGCTCCAGGCTGGCGGTGCTGGACAAGTACGCCCACGTGCTGAAGGAGAGTCCAAAGCCCTTGGCCGTTTTAGGTTCTACCAAATTCAAGGAGGGCTAATTAGCTTCAACCTTGGCAACTGGGTTGGTTCATTGTCAAAGGGAGGTTAAGGAGAGTCCCCGATTCGGGCGCAATCCAGGAATCATGTTTGCGGTTCGTTTCGGTTCGCCCCCGATGCGGCTCGGTTCGGTTCCGTTTTCCTCCACGCTTCCCAGATCCTCCGTCTACGCTTCGCTCCACGCTTCCCCGGCTCCATGCATCCCCGGCCCCACACTCGCCCATCTCCACGCGTCCCCAGCTCCACACTTCCCAGCTCCACACTCGCCCGGCTCCACGCTTCCCCGGCTCAAACTCGCCCGATTCCACGCTTCCCTTTCCACATTGGTTGTGTTGACCGGCTCCCTGCATAATTGCTCATGGATTTAAACATCGTTCTTTGGCCCCATTTAAGCGATGTTTGCAGGGGTCCCGCACATGCAGAGCCGTTCCCCCCCGCCCTCCCCCCACAGGAGTACAACGACAACGAGGTGCACCGACTGGTGGAAGTCGCAATGGCCAACACTTCCCTGGAGGACATGCCCCGAGTTCAGCCACGGCTGCTTCGGGGACTCACGGCAGACACCACCAACGACTGGGCTTCTTGACCGAGCGCTTGGAGTCGGAAGCAAATTATGGGGAAAAGGATGATAACTAGGTCCCCCAGTAGTGCCCTTTTGTTTGAATTTCTTTCTCGGTGGGCAAGGTGCCCTGCGCTTCTGCAGGCGAGACCTTCGATGGCACGAGAGGGAGAGAGAGAGAGAGAGAGTAGTGCCCTTTTACTCTTTGTTTTTGGGAGGGTTCCCCTACTAAATAGACTACATAAAAAGGGTACTCTTATTCTATCCTCTCTACTGGAGGACCTAGATAAGGAAAACCACTTGGAGCTCCGACTTGCTTGGCAAGTAGGTTATAACTTATGAGTTATGAGTTATGAGGGAGCTATCTTCGGTTGCTTTTATTGAACCACGGTTGTAAAGACTGCTCAGTAAGTTGGCTGGACATTTCCAAGCAATGGATTTTTTGTTTTAATGCCCAAAGTGTCCTTCGCCAATTGCTACCCTTCCAGCCAGAGCCTAGCAAAGATCATGTCAAAGTTCACCAAGGGAAACCACTACCCGTCCAACAACAGCCATGACCATTTTCCTCTAGCACGCCCGTATGTTCCATGCTTGCTTTTGAGGGGGTGCTCAGTTGGAGTTCTTGATCTTCATGCTGGGTACTTCTTGTCGGGTGACGCCACGTGACTCCCGCGTGAGGCTACGATGGGCTTTCCCGACCTGCCTCAGCGGCTTGGGAAGATGTCAGAAGGCACGGGAGGCCCCTAAAACCATCGACCTCGTTCAAGATCGCCAAATATGGACCACCGCTGGCAGTGTCATTTCGAGGTGAGGGTATGTAAAGAGCTTAGGTGGCAACTCGGCGCGCCCGCTTGCTCCTCCAAATGCCGCCTCAAGTTTATTGGGAAATCTCGGAAGGCCACTTTGAACTTGGGGCCAAACTTAAACATCGCTGAAGTACCAGCTGATTCCTGAGGCTCCCATCTAATTGACAGGCACATGGCTGTTGGATGGGCAGTCCCTGATTGCATTGCGCGTGGCTGTCAACAAACATCTCGATGGAGCGCCTGTGCGCTCAGTCCGCTTCACGCAGAAACTAAGCAATGCGTATCCTTATATTCCCATAGGTGTATTCCCTTCTCAGAGCATCTTTGAAGCAAGGGCTTGTCGCGTGGCTAAAAGGCGGGTTCTCGGCGGGTGGTTGGCACAAGCACTTGTTCCGTGAAGCCCGGAGTTGAATTGCCTGGGCTGGGCCTTCGAGATGAGCGGTTCACGGTGAAACACGGGTTGGCTTGCAGAAACCACAAGCTAGCAATGTTCACCCCTCATGCTACCGTGAATTCGGGGGAGGCTTGCAGTAGAATTGGAAATGGTTGCTCTTCGATGGGTGTTTGAAAAAGGAGGCCCTTGATAAGATGCATCCCCTTCCCCCCCCCCAAACCCGGTTCAGGGCCTTAGGCAATTTTAGGACCCAGCCATCCGAGGAAGAAGGGCCGCTACTTCTTCGAGGTGGAGCTGATCCGGGGCTGCGAAAGCCCACAGGCCGGGGGCCTGGGGATGGGGAGCTTGCTTGAGCGTGACCTCCATTTTCTTGCGATCGGTGCGTTGGATTGGCAGGGGAGGAGAATTGGAATGACCCCGAGAACAACCATCCAACCGGAGGTTTTTTTTAGGGCTACCCCGGAACGGTTCATTCCTGCATTGATTCTTGATTCTTGATTCTTGATCCACAGCCCGCACACCTACCTCAAGAGAGGTTAAGTGAGGGTGCGCAGTGGGCTGCGCGATACCCCTAGCGGATGCTAGCAGGTCGTTGCAGCGCACTGAACGTCAGTTTCCCTCAGTCACACTGCAGCGCCGTGCAGACTCGTCACATCACGAGTCCGACATACCTAATTCTTGCAGTATCCACCTCAAGACCGCCTGAGGAGTGGAAGAGACAAAACAAGAAGGATTTCAAACTCATCCTGCGTGACACGTGATTGCTAGCCAGACCGGAGAAACACTTGAGTAGTGCCAGAGCAACAAAAAAGCACATGGCGCACGTAAACATCCGGTGCGCCGCACAAGGGGCAGGCCACGAATGTTTCAGAACAGTGAAGGTCCGGTCGCTGCCAGAGCGGCCAGAGCCCCGTGAGTCGAATGAACGCCCATTCTCTATGCCCAAATAAGACTTTGAGCGAGCCCCAGCCTGTCGGGAACCGAGTAAGTATGGCAAAATTCAGAGTGTGTGGAGCTCAAGCCCGGCAACACCTTCCCTGCACTTTGAGTAAATTCCGAATCGTCGCGTCGCTGGAGAATGGGTACCACCACCTGACATTTGTATCTCTGAAGGATATTTTCCCTAAGGAGAAGGTCCCCCCTCGCCTGGTCCAACGAAGAAGCTCCCACTAGCTGTGAAGCCTCCAAGGTGGGAATGCAAAGATTCTGCATTAGTTCCGTGACGCTGTGCCACCAAGTGCCATGCGAGCATGTCCGTGCCAAAAAGATCATAACATAAGTCGGATGGTCCTGCGGCAACAGGAAAACCTTAGCAAGGAACAAGCAAGCTCTTTGAATAGCCTTCGAGGAAAGCCGCGACTTCCAACCGCACAAAGCAACAGCCAAGGCCCCACGCAACTCCGTATGGCAAGTGGCCCCCAAAATGCTCTTAGCCCAATCAGCTTGGAGGCGGTCCAACTGTTTGTAAAAGCTTGGCCTCAAAGGCCAAATTTCGGCAGCAAAAAGCACCACAGGCTCTAGTCTTTGCACCACTGCAGCCGCAGTGATAGGAGCAGGGAAATTGGCGTTCGTTGCCGAAGCCAAGAGTTCCTGGAATAACGCCTTCCCCACCCTCAAGACGTGCTGAGCTCTGGGTTCCCAAGACAGCTCTTTGTCCATCAGCACCCCCGGCAATTTGTATCGCTCACACGTCAGTTCTCCCAGCAAATCGCTTGGGCTGTCAAAGAAGGACAGGATAGCCGTTTTACGACTTCCAACGAGTTCCTGGAATTTACGTAAACTGTTTTTCCATTCACTCAGGAAGTGAGTTTTGGGACCCTGATTCTGTGCCACCTTCAAAGTAAAGACGCAGGGCTTCAAAATCCGTGGCGGCCGAGTGACTTGAGATGTGCCTATCCTGGCTCAGCGTACACTAACTGTCAAACTCAATGCAGACATTGGGCACTTGCCTCAAAGACAATTGCTGCTGCCTTCAATGCAGCGCAATTGTGGGTCATATCGGGTATCCAAGGAACACGGTTGGGAAGGCAAGTGTGCCTTCCGGAAGGTTTCCACGATGGTATGCCAGTTGCAGGCAGCCCTCAAGCCATATACCATGTTTGCCAACTTGGCTGCAAATGATGTTCATTCCCAGCCTCGGTTGAGGGAGCCTTTGCACAATCAAGTGAGTGGTAGCATGGGGAGGGCGGCTTAAAGCAAAACTTATATAATTCCGATGGACCAACCAGGGCTACATGACACATGTGTGGACAAACTACAGGCTTTGCTTGGAGTCCCGCGTTGGCCTGATTGTAAGAGGGCGCCACCATGTAGACGCCTGGTTGATGAGCTTCTTCGTTGTTGTGTGCAGGGATCACTTGGGCTCAGGTCGGCTTGTGCAGCAATCACTTCGTGCTTGCGCCCCGCACCAAGGCGCTCAAATGGGAAAGTGCCAATGGTAGAGCGAAGAGAAGGTTTATCAAAGGTGATTGTGGAAGAGTCGAAGTGGGGAAAGGTAAAGTCGGTCAAGGATATTCTTCCTACAGTGTAATTGTTCCAAGGTGACAAACATGCAAGCAACCTCGAGTCTCAAATGGGCGTGTGTGTGGGTGTGTGTGTGTGCGCGTTTGGTTTTCCAGGGGCTTTGAGCGATTGCTTGACGAGGATGGCAAAGGCTTTCGCACCTGGATTTGCAAGTTTGCAACAGATGCGGAACTCCTATGCCCAAATCTGAGTGCCTTTCTTTTCCAGGGCCTGGAACGCGAAGGACTCACCAGGTGACAAGCTCACTCAGGACATGCGAAGCGTACTTTCACGAGCATAGAAGTGGTTTTGCCAGCAATGCACCAACTAGGCAGGTACACCGAGACAGTTGTTTTATGGCTAACAGAGATCGGCCTTCCGCTGGCAAGTCTGGCATATGAGCTTCCTTCTCCCAGGTTGGGGGTGCTTCTGTAGGGGCGAACCAGGAGATGCCCCAGCAATAAAAACAACCTATATTATGGGTGTGGGTCAAGAATAGGTACCCCAAATGGAACCCTGGTAAATGAAAACAAGGACTAAAATCTGCGGTCCCCTGGTGCTTTAATTTTGACCCGTACCCTTATGTTGATTTCCATGTCCCAGGTCAAAATCAAGTCTTGGGAACCAAACATCCAGGGGGACCATCTCCGGGGCGTGGGCGACGATGAGCACGGCTGGGCGGCCGATGGCCAGCACTCGATTCTCTGGCACAAAGGCCACGGCATCCTTGCTGGATTGCCCCTTTCCTAGGTCCCCCGGTGCCCTTTTACCCTTTTTTGGGGGAGGGTTCACCTGCTAAAATAGACTACAGAAAAAAGGGTACCCTTATTGTAGCCTCTCTAGTTTTTCTTGCGTGGGGAATGAGAAAAGGGAGTCTGACCCCAACTATAAACCATCCAACTGCTGGTGGTTTTTCTTGGGGACCAAAGCCGGGGTCGTGTGTTTTTTTTTTGCTTAGCCCTGGTTGGCCCCAACCCTGGTTGGCCCCAACCCTGGTTGGTTGGTTGGTTGGTTGGTTGGTTGGTTGGTTGGTTGGTTGGTTGGTTGGTTGGTTGGTTGGTTGGTTGGTTGGTTGGTTGGTTGGTTGGGTTGGTTGGTTGGTTGGTTGGTTGGTTGGTTGGTTGGTTGGTTGGTTGGGGGGTTGGTTGGTTGGTTGGTTGGTTGGTTGGTTGGTTGGTTGGTTGGTTGGTTGGTTGGTTGGTTGGTTGGTTGGTTGGTTGGGTTGGTTGGTTGGTTGGGTTGGTTGGTTGGTTGGTTGGTTGGTTGGTTGGTTGGTTGGTTGGTTGGTGGGTTGGTTGGGTTGGTTGGGTGGGTTGGTTGGTTGGCTGGCTGGCTGGCTGGCTGGCTGGTTGGTTGGTTGGTTGGTTGGCTGGGCTGGTTGGCTGGGTGAGCGGGGCCGGTCGGCTGGTTGGCTGGGTGAGCGGGTTTGGTTGGTTGGTTGGTTGGGTGGTTGGGTGGTTCGTTGGCTGGGGGTTGGTTCCAGGGCAGAGGGGGCCTGGGGGTCAGAAAAAGGAGGAGGGGTATTTATTTTAGGATGTTTTTCGTTTTTTTTTTTGGATTTGTTTTCGCTTTTGGCTTCTTGGCTTCTTGGCTTCTTGGCTTCTTGGCTTCTTGGCTTCCTGGCTTCCTGGCTTCTTGGCTTCTTGGCTTCTCGGCTTCTTGGCTTCTCGGCTTCTTGGCTTCTTGGCTTTTCGGCTTCTTGGCTTCTCGGCTTCTGGGCTTCTGGGCTTCTGGGCTTCTTGGCTTCTTGGCTTCTTGGCTTCTTGGTTTTTCGGCTTCTTGGCTTCTCGGCTTCTGGGCTTCTAGGCTTTTCGGCTTTTTGCTGGTTTATGCAGCTTTTGGTGGCTTTTTGGCTTTTCGCATCCTCTGCATTCCCAGTTCCTCTTCGGCAGGTGGCGTTTTTCCGACATCATGGGGGGGGCTGCCGCCCCCCCTAACCCCCCCGCTACGTTTTAGATTTTCTGCAGAGATTTAATTAGTTGCACCCCTAGTTGAATCATCAATTCTTCGAACATCCCCCCAACCCCCCCGCTACTTTTTAGACTTTTGCAGGGATTTAATTGCACCCCTATTCAAATCATCACTTCTGCAAACAACATCGTGGGGGGGGCTGCCGCCCCCCCCAACCCCCCCGCTACTTTTTATATTTTTTTACAGGGATTGACATGCCCTCCTACTTGAATCATCATTTCTTTGACCCCGTCACACGATTTGTGGGTGATGCTAGGGATGTTGGTGGGACATGCGGGGGATGTTGACGGGCTAGTGTAAAATGCGTCAATTTCGCGAGAAAATGCTGTAAAATACGACACTTTACTGGCCCGGCAGAGATTGAATTGCACCCCTGTTTGAATCATCACTTTTTCGAGCGTCCAATTTCGCGAGAAAATGCTGCAAAATACGACATTTTAGGTAATCTGTGTAGTCCGTGTATGTCTGTACGTATGCATTTCTTCGAACATCATAGGGGAAGCCACCCCCGCCAACCCTCCCGCTGCCTTTTAAATGCTATCACACCCTTTCTTGCAGAGATTTAATTGCACCCCTGTTCGAATCATCACTACCCCGCTCTGTTTTTCTTAATTGTTTTTTTGTATTTTTTTTGCTGGGATTGAAATGCCCTCCTGTTTGAAGCATCATTGTTTTGACCCCGTCAACCCGCCAGCTACATTTTTGGATTTTGTTACCCACAATTTGTTGGTGATGCTAGGGATGTTGGTCGGACATGCGGGGGATGTTGAAAACGATGCTGGGGATGTTGAAGAGCTAGTGTAAAATGCGTCGCAAAGGAAAGAGCCAAAGACGCAGAGTAAAACTTTGCCCATAGTGCCAGCCTGGAACCAGGGTTAGCCAAAAAGCAGGGCTAGTCAAAAAAATTACACCGGCATAGACCCCAGATAGCAATGATTGCACACCAGCACCTCCAACAGCACCCCCCGAAGAGCGTCACAAACAGCACCCGGCCGTCAATCGAGCACCCGCGCCATCACTAGCACCTCCAACAGCACCCCAAACAGCATCCCAAAACAGCACCTGCAGCAGCACCCCAAACTGCATGCCCCCTGCACCCTGCCGTCAATCTCGCAAAAAAGTGCCTGCACCGTCACCCTAAGAGCACCCCAAACAGCACCCCCCCAAACACCCAGCTGCACCAGCGCCCCAAGCTGCATGCCCCCTTGCACCCTACCGTCAAGATGCAAAAATGTGTCTGCACCGTCACCTGCATGCCCGATAGCACCCGGGCGTCAATATCGCAAATTGCGCCCGCACCGTCATTAGCACCTCAAACAGCTCCCCAAACAGCATCCCAAAAACACCCCAGCACCCCAAACTGCATGCCCCCGTGCACCCTACCGTCAAGATGCAATAAACACGCGTGCACCGTCACCCCCAAAACAGCACCTGCACCAGCACCCCCAAACTGCATGCCCCCTAGCACCCTACCGTCTATCTTGAAAAGATGCGCCCGCACTGCCATCAGCACCTCAAACAGCACCCAATCCGCCAAAACCAGCACCCCAAACTGCACGCCCCTTAGCACCAGCCCATCAATCTCGCAAATCACTTCCCCCTCTTTATTAGAAGTTAGAACCCCTATAGCTTTCAGCTATCTGGGGAAAAACACCCCAACCCCAAAGCCGGAAGGGTTCATTGAACCACATTCCCTACTTATCGCACCAGCAAATTGTATGGGCTTCGAGCTCATCGATATGGAGGTAAACGAGCAACTGCGATGTAAGTCCTTTACTTGGATCCTTGATTCCAGTATGCAAGGAATGCAAGGTTATGGCATGTATGTTCCATGGAACATTTCCCTTTCGTGAGAAAACCGGGAAAATGGCACCGGGGGGACATAGCTAGGTGGGGGATGGCCAGGGCAACTTGTGTCTTGCGGAGTCCCAGGTTCTGCTGAGAACGCTGAGGCGAAACCACATCGGAAACCATTTGGAGACTTATGTCCACCCACCAACCTCTGTTTGAGGAGGTTTCCCACTTTGTGCGCATAGCCATATGGAACCCAAGTGGAATGATATTGGACGGCCCGTGCGACCATAAGGATATTACCAGCTGAAGGCGCACTATTGTGGTTACCGCCAGCGACAGCAGAGGTAGCTGTCACAGCAGAAGTGGCTGCCATTTGATACTAGTGGGTGGCAGGCACTCGGTAGATACTCGTTTTTTTTGGGTTTTATTTTTTGAAGCAAGCAGTAGGCGGGAAATAGTGCAAGTAGAAACTAGCAGCCAGACAGGCGGTGGAGAGTTGGTTGCAGCAGCGGGTGTGGTGCTAGCAACTAGCATGAACCCAAACTGGGGGGGGGGGTCCTGCAAGTTGGTCTTTCTCCAAAAGGAGTGGGAGGGTAGCTCGCAGAGGCAGCACGCGACCAGCAGCAAGCAAAAGCAGCAGGAGCTGTGGAAATAGACGGTAATAGAGGAAGAACTGGAGGTGCACAATCCTGGTGCGCCTTGTTGTTTTACCAGCCCGACCCTCAACTGTTTTGCTTAGGGGAACGGAATCATTCCCCAGATAGCTGAAAGCTATAGGCTACTGGGTTCTAGCTTCTAGGGGAACGTGTGCAAGATTGACGGCTAGGCATGCGTAGTTATTTTGTTTGAGTACCTGGTGGACTCGCGAGTGCAGCCCTGGGCAGGCAAGAAGCTGGCCTGGAACCGGACCTGGGCCTCCAAGTCGAAGCAGCTCTCGGAGCTACTCGGTTCCAAGCCCAAACCGAGGCCAACCAAAAGTGGACCCTGGTTTCTGGGGCCTCCTCCAATACAGGTTTTTGAGTAGTGCCCTTTTCCCTACCAAAAAATAGACTACAGAAAAAGTACCCTTATTCCAACCTCTCTACTGGAGGACCTAGAAGGTATGGCAATATTTCAGAAAGCAACATCTTCTGTGTACTCCACATGTGGACCAAGTTTTGACCCCTAAATGGGTTCCCCAACGTTCTTTCGGATCGCATGATCCTGCGCAAGCGATCGGAATCTGTTGGTTAGACCTTGTTGAACGGGTCTCCAAGCTTTTGGCCACTTTGTTTGGGAGCTTGGCATCCAAGAGGAGACCGGATGCATGTTCAGGTCCAATAAAGCAGTCTCAAAAGGACGGCCATGACCCAGCAAAACGTGCCAAAGAGGGAAACAACAACGAGAAACATGCGGGGCATGCAATTTTATGTTAACCCTCAGGGTGGGAGGGTATGTTTGGGCCAACATGATACTACGCCGCTCGCGCAGTGCGTTTCCACCAAATTGGCGCTCTGTCGCAACACGTGCCCAAGCAACACATTGGCCAAGCGGCTCCAGTAACGCATTTTCCTCCTGGTCAAGTTATTTTGGCTTTGTGAACCTTTGCCTGGGGTATGTGAAGTCAACTCAAACAATAGCCAAAACCGCACCTTTGCTAGCTGATGTCACAGATCGTTTGCACCCGCGTGCTATTTTTGTCGCGTGGGTGTGTCTTTTGCTAGTTGCTATTGCCGGACAAGTTCTCAAGGAAACCCTGGGAGAGGCCTTAGGGCATGCTGCCTTTCAATTGCAGGCATCACTGGCATTTGAAAGCCGCTTTTGGGTTGGTGTTGGTTTTCCGAGAAGCTTCGCACAGGGACCAACTATGGCCACATTGCTTAGGGGGTTAGCTCAGTGGCCATGTGAGTCTTGTCAACCCCGGCTTAATCAACTTGGCAGATTATTAAGGGTGATTCCCTCAAAAGTGAGGAATCCTCTGTAAAACTGCACACCCTTCATTGAGCAACCAGGGCTTATTTTCCGTAGGTTCGCATTCGGTCCCTTGGCCGAGGAATGTAGTGGTTGGCATTGCTGTGGACCTGGACGCTGGCAAGATTTGGTTTGCCAGCGATGGGGAGTGGGATCCGGAGGACAGGGCAACGCGGGAACGATTCGAGCGTGTCGCCAAATGGCTTTCTCCAGGCAAAAAAGCCAAATCTTTTTCATCCCTCTTTTCGTTGAGGAAAGGCGGTGCGGCCGGTAAGGGTCATCGTTGGCTTTTGTGATTAGGATAGCTTGCTTGCTCTCTGCCCTCAAGAGCAAGTTTGGCAATGTTGTTTGATTAGAAGTGACGTGTCATGATGCTATATCACTTTCAAGGCAAGTTTAAGGTCGCTTGACATGGGTGTTTGTGCTGCGTGACCTGCGTGACCTGCGTGATAATTTATTCCCCTTGAGAATAAGCACGGACCCTCCAAACAAAATAATAAGTACACATCTCTGGGGGCCAAACGATACTTATGAATAGGGCAAGTAGGGTGTCCGCCAGATTTCGGCTTCAGTCCTCGTCCAAATGGGCTCCCCCCTTTCCCGGACAGGAAAAAACGTCAAATCACAATTTCCGAGCAACGAATTTCAAAACTAACAGGCTCAGTTTAAATGTTGAATTGCAGCTCAATAAATATGAACATAAATTTATGTAAGGTAAGAATGAATTTATAATGTTAAAGCAATATGCTGGAATACCCCCGTCTTTGGTCATGTCCTGAAGCACTTATAGGCAGGCAGGGACATCCCGCAGACAGATCCCCTGTGCCGTACGCCTTTCGTAAGAGCCTTTCTTCTGGAGCCAGAGAAGCATTCCAATATCATGGGTAGCACCTCCTTGTAGGTTCCTACAGCATGGGTCAGAAAGGGTAGAACCATCTAGCTCCCGGAAAGCTTCTTAGCACCCTTTCGGGCATGTCAGGAGAAACCCAGCTTTGGGACCGACATGCTGCCAAAAGGCACGGCCCTGTCCGGGCGCCTAGCCGTGGCCATTGCTCCAGCCGTTTCCCTTCCCGTTGTACATTTCCTGCAAAAGGGTACCTTACACCGACTAGCCAAATCACTTTTTCTTTCCTGATCCCGTTCGAAGTGTGCCAACAAGTTCTTGCCTGTGGTAGTTTTAAGCATGTTTGCGCGGTGTGTGTTAAGCATGTTTTCGTCTAAAGCCGCCGGAGAGGTCCCCCATTATCGTGGCCATGCAGGCCAGATTTACAAAGAAAACATGCCTCGCATGGGGACGGGCCCATTTTGTGGGTCCTGCAATGGACGTGGCATTTTGACCATCTGCAGATCACAGAAGAGCGCAAAGTAGTTGCTACCTGCAACGTGCAGAAACTGATCAGATTAATTACCTTGAATCGCTAAAAAACTGGAACTCAGGATGAACATCCAACAGAAATGAATCTGTGGATTCACACTTTAGAGGCAATCCATCCTCTCTCTTTCTTTGGAGGGGAGGAGGAACCTCCCTTACCAGTCTGGCAGGTTGAATCCTGGGATTAGACTTATCTTACTTAGCAGATTCCTGTTACCAGTTTGTTAGGCAACCATAATTTATCATTTACTTTTGGTTTTGAAAGGGGAGTCCCCTTGATTACCAACTAAGATAGATATGGGGCCTCCCCCGGTATTATGTTTTATACTTGCCGACATATGAGCTAGAGTCTGAGCCTCTGAGTTTGGGTCGCCCCGAACAGGCCAGCAATGGACTCACCTCCGGAAGGCCTTTTACCTCGCCTTCCTCGCGAGGTACCCGGCGCTGTCCTTCCGCGGGCGCGCGGCCTTCATCTTCGGCCCGGACTTCAAGCACAAGGCCCGGCGCCCGTCCAAGTGGTGACGCCAGGGGGCCGGAAAGCCGACTCTCCATCTATATAACCTGAGTCAAAACTGATCCTCGAAAATGTGGAATTCCAGTTGGGCGGGTCCCGGTGTATCTTTGCACTTGCTTTTTAGAAGTTTGGCAGCGGGTTGACGTCCAAAAGGCCGATGTAGTGACACTGCTTGAGCCTTTTGCTGCTTCTTTGAGTTATTCTGGAAGTTCTTTTCAAGAAGGACCTTCAAATCTGTGTCAGCTTTGTTATTTCGGCTGAATGGCTGTGTTATTTTTTCCCATGTTCAAAATTCCATCCACTCTCCAAAAAGCATCTCTTCAGGGGTTGGGTGGAAGTGGCCGCTTCCGGGTGTGGTTTCGCCGAGGCCCCGACGTTCAAGGGCAAGCCCTTCACCCAGTGGCCGGGCATGGCGGATGGCACAGTGCGGGCAGATTGCCCCATCGTCGGGAACTCCAATAACGTGAGCATCTATAAGGAGCGCCTTGGAAGGACGTTTCACAATACAAATCGGGGTAGCTGTCTTTCGTGATGAGGAAAATCCGCTTGACAACAGCGTCATAACAATGGGAATCCCACTTTTGATGGAAAAGAGCATGTCACGTCCCACAATCATGGTTCAAGCCACGAATATGTTTCTCATGACAACGCCAGACAGGTTTTTGTGTCCTACCCGAGCACTGTTCAACCATCACCAGATCATGCCAAGCATTTGCAAAGGGCCTTCGTGACACACCATTTTTACCGGACCTCACCCACTCCTTTCCCAGCTTGTGTTGCTTGCAGGGTTCTGCGATGAATGGACTGGCCTTTCCTCGCAATCAAGCTGGGAACTGGCCCCAGAAGATAAGCCACGTGATTTCCCATGACCCAACTAGTGCCGAAGGTATTCATTCTGGAATCCTTCTCAGGGGCCTGGTCGCAGTTTAGCACTCCAGAGAAGTTGGGGCAGAGTGGCAGAATCGGCCAAGCCCCAGCAAATCTGTCCGATTCCCCGGTTGGGAGATAGGTTCAAGGTCGCATGAGCGGTAACGTGACCCTGCGAGTCCCAAATAATTTTATGATATGGAATTTCTGTCCACATCCTTTTGTGCCGGAATACCAGCCGTTTCATCATGCCCTTTGTCCGCTGGTTGCTCCCAGTGAATCTGACAGGCGTAGCTTTTTTGGGACGCTCACTTTGGGTCCAAGGATCCAGATCCATGGCGAGGTCAGCCTGAAGCGAAATGTGCAAAGGCCTGGGGTCGGAACTACGGCCAGCCTTCTGTGGGAAATACGGTTGTGCTCACTGGGTCGCAACCCAGCCAATTGGCCACATGCTAAACGGCAGGTGCTGGCGTGATGAAAAACTGATGCTTTTTTAGATTTTAGAGTGTTTGGCCGTCTTTTTGATCAGCAGGCACATGGCGTTTGAGATACGAGATTCTGATTGGGCCTGGAGAGCACTTAATCTATTGCTTCCAGAAGCCCTGTTTTCTTTATGTTGTTCTTTCTTTCTGATCGGCAGGTGCGTGATGTTTTAGATTTATTTGGGCCAGGGGAAATTCTTGCTATTGCTTCCCGTGTTGACGCCCCTTGCCTGGTTGGGCTCATTGTCTGCCTTGTCTGAAACAATCATTGCAGAGCAGCATGAAACAAGGAAGGGGGGGAAGCCGGGAGGCTAACATGTTGGGGGGGCTCAACCAATCGTACGCGCTGGGTGAGTGGGTGGCAAAAATAAAGTTAACTTGCGGATAGTTCGGAATGCCCTCCTTATCTAAGGACTTCCCTTAAAAAGGAAGTGATTGCTCAGTAAAAGGGCAACCGTGCCTGACTATCATGGCCCTTGGGCTAATCCGAAGGTGACCTTAGTGTGAGGACTACATTGTTTCGACCATATTACCGTGCGGCACACTTGTTCCCTTTTGGTCCACTTGGCCCTCACCTACATGCTATGAGCAAGTGCAAACGTGCAAGCCTTTCTTCTACTCCCTAATTTAGACCGACCTCAAACGGGCGGGGGGCGGGGGGAGTATAATGGGGGGATTCGGGGATTCGCGAATTTCACTCGAGTGGATTGGCCAAAAAGGACAGGACCTGTATTTGGCAGTTCAAATTGGCAAACGCGCCTCCGGGATCTGAGGCCATCTCGCGCTCGACGGATCGATCACAATGCGAGCGTAATTGTACAAGTGAGTTTCAGGGTTCCTTTTATTGACGCGGGTTTGAGGGAAGCGTTCAACAAATGGGTACGGGTCAAGATCAAAGCACCTTGTTCCCATCCAGATTTCCATTTGGATACCTATTTATGGCCACCAAAATGCACAACAACAAATCTCTGCATGCCTTTTTTTAGGGGAACCCCCCCCCCCAACTGTTGGCTTTCCCGGCGGTTTTATCCATCAAAGCCACCGAAGCCAAGGCGGCCTTCAAAAAGATGGACCCGCATTTCAGCCGGTGAGTTGACCCACAGGCTGGTGGCCAACCGGAAGCACCTGGAGGTCTCCAAGAGCGATCGATCCTGGGCGGTCTGCGTGGATGGCCTGCAGGATGCGGACGGCCGCCTGGATGTGAGTGGGTGAGACGTGCGCCGGCCCTTTTTGGAGGCTACCCATGTTCTCACTTCCTGAGTTAACATGGCGTTGGCATCTTCTCACTACCCATGTTCTTGGTGCGGAAGTGACTGACGTCCCTCCTGAGTTCCTGCGCTTTAAACCTTTGGGGAGCACCATTTTATTGCCAAGCAGGACTTCCTGTTGGCCAAATCCACTCAGGAAGTGATTGTTTTCGGGGTTGGTATAAAGGGACACCAGACGGAAAACCACAGCTTTTGGGCCCCCCTACTTTGGCACACAGCCACGATATATGTTGAGAGTGTGGGGGTGAAGTTCTGGCTAAGGTAGCTACGCCCGGTCCGGGGCCAAGAACGGAAATGCGGTGTACACGCAGAACGGGGGCTCCCACAAGCTTTACTTCGACAAGGACGCTGAGAAGTGGCGGCTGAGCAAAGATGTGCCTGGGCCGTATGTCCGAAACCGCCGGAGGCGGAGGGAAATAAAAACAAACGCCAGATCAACCAGGCAGGCTACCCATATTTCTTCGTTTTAGGGGGACTCTTTTGACCGATGAGGTACTCCGGATCTATGCTCAAGCTAGGTTCCTTGTGCTTGTGGTTTCAAGTTGAAACATCCATTGCTCCTAGGCATGGTTGGTGATGCTTGGCCCGGGCCTGGCTGAAGCAGGCAGAATGCCCCGCAACCCCGGTGAAAATAAACGAACCCATGTTCTTTTGGCGCGTAATCTTTCTTTTGCGTGTCGTGGAGGCGCCTCTCCCCCCCCCTTTTTGAGCTCAAAAAAGGGGTCACCCTCAAATCAGGAGAGGCATCAGACGTGCTTTGATGCGTGCGCAAACGCGGGGACGCACATACCCTCCAGGCAAGACAAGTAATGTCCTTCGAAGCTGTAGGCACGACTGGTGTCTTGATCTTGCAGCCAGTTGCGAACAGTTCCAGTCTAACGTGGTTGGCCAGAAGCCTGCCAAGCGCTCGCCAGGAAGAGCTGTGGCAAGGGTAAAGCCAGCTGAGATGTTGAACATGCACCTTCACAAGAGTGGTTGGCCCCAATCTTTGCCGGAAGTTTGTAAACAAGTTGTTTGATCCTTTCACTGTTGGGAGTGGTCCGTTGGGGGGCACCTTGTCAACACCTCAGTTCGCCCTTTCGCGGTGCTCTTGGCCAATTGCTTCTCACCATCGTCAAAAAAGGGTCATGTGAATATGAATGCGAGATCTACCCTTTGCAGTGGGCAGGATTGTCACTCACCGATCAGTGGTTGGCAGTCAATGGACCTCAGACACAGGCTTGTCTCGCCAAATGTGCTTGTTTTATTTTGGTGTCCGCCAAAAACTAGCCCAGAAAGAGTAGCCTCAGATGTATTTCGCACAGATCTCCTTTCGGTTCCGTTTTCGGGGGGGGTGTCCCTTTAAACCTAGCTACCTACAGAGTAATTAGGCAAACTTCAATCTGTCGGCCTGCCAACCGCCCAAAACTTCTTCCTCATTTGAACATGTAAGGCCCAAACAGTTTGAACCTTCAGAACCGGTTTCAACCAAGATCAACACATTGGCTCCCTTCAACTAAAAGGAAGCGGCTGAGAAGCGCAGGCGTCCCCCCAAGCGAGCCCTGCCGCCAGCCAAGCGAGCGGTGCCGCGTGCTGAGGAGGCAGACCCGGAGGCATGGCTGGCCGAGGCGCCGGCCGCTGCGGCGTCCTTCGAGCCCCCGCGGCACGGGTGGACGGTGCCCATCAACAAGCGAGGCCGAGCGCAGCTCGGAGGGGAGGGGATGGCGGATGGCCATGGGACAGATGGGGTGGGTCCCTTAAAGGATACGTTTTTTTGTTTTTTAAGGGTTGGAACCCCCTGAAGGGTCCCTAGTAACAATTCATACCCAGATATGTTGAGTCATAGATGTTACAATTGGCTGGTTTTGCAAGAACCCGGTTTAGGGCTGTTTAGGGTTGGGTTGGTGGCGCTGGTTGAAGGTCAAAGGGCTGGTTTACCATGGGTGGGTTCAGGGTTTGAAGGTTTGGGGATTCCACTTCCGGGCCGTGTATTCCAATTTGTTGTTCATGGGTTGGCTTACACCCTGGGATTTCCGTGCCAACGTGAAAGCCTAAGGCCGGTCTCGCTGCTGAAATCCGTCTTGGATGGCTTCAAGGTGGGTGCGGATGTGCAGGACGGGACTGAGACAGAATCTACCCCACAACCCACTAGCCCTAAGGGAAGAGGGGGGCACTATAATTATGCCATATTCCCAAGCCCACCCCGATCCTTAAGAATTGCAGTGATAGCGGGCAAAGTCTGACAGCCTCCCATGGGGTTTGCGACCTCCCCCCGCGTACCCATCCTTAACCCACAAAGTAGGTTTTGGCCCATGGCCATGTGGGGGCCAATCCCAAGTTCCGAGCAAGAGTACGACCTACTTACCCTCCCACCAACTAACATGGAGCCTGACAGGAGGGCATTTGACAGGAACATGGTCTTCGTTCCATGTTAATTGGTGAGAGGGTACCCGACGGTTGAGCATCGGCGAGGATCACATCATCAAGATCTTGGGGCGGCAGCTCAAGGGCAGCCCGGAGCTCGAGGTCTTCCGAGTCGGTGACAGCAGCCCGGAAGGGAAGGACGTGGCCGGGTGGTGCTTGTTTGGGGGGCGGATGGCAGATGGATGCTTCTCAAACCTTTAAGTAGAGGACCCTAAACGTGGGTTGCTGCACAAGGAGGTTGGGCCCCTTCCTCTCTCGCAAGCCCGGTTCCTTTCCATGTGTTCCGCGGAGTGTTTTTTCTGTTCGCAAACCCCAAACTCCACTTGGAGCATGCCCAGCTTCAAAACGCAGGTTGTTTCAGCCGCAAAACGCAGCACTTGCCCCTGAACAGGTTGGAATAGTTGGCAAGGACCCGAGCAAACTGGAACACATCTTGGCAGCATGGCCCTGTGCAAGTTTCTGGTCAGCTGTAATCCCAGTTGCCCAGTGCTGCCTTTTTTTTCCTTTTTTGGGGAAGGATTCCTCTTTAAAGTCAACCAACCAAAAGATGCCCTTTTTCCCATGGCCACTGGGAGTCTGAGTAATGTTTGCCGGGGAAATCCTCGGAGCCCGTCGGTCGGAGCCAGCTTCCGGCCGAGACACCACCTTCGAAGACGAGTGGAACAGGCTTCAGCGCGAGAACAAGGTCAAGGTGCACCGGGGGGAGTGCTCCAATCACAAGCCACCCTCAAGCGCGCACTGTCAGTGTGGTCTTTTGCAGGTGCGCAATATGAGGGGTGAAATGGTTACGCGATTTTTTGTATTTCTCCATCATCATGACTAAAACTAAGCACGGTTTTGAAGCCCATTCTTTTCATTTAGCCCTTCATGGTACCCTTTCAGGGGTTGGTTTAAAGGGAAACCAGCAGTACAACACCCATGTTGAGAGCTCTCCCATTTTCAGACAAACCCAGTTGCCGGCTAATTTCCCATGTTTGTCAATGTGCTCCGCTTCAACATCAAGAGACTTTTTTTTGCGAGAGTTGTGTCGTTGGTGGGCTTTATGTTGCATTTGCAATGCCCAGTGGGCAAGCAAGAGTAGGGTCTAGCCAGAGAGGCTCTGAGGTGGATTGGGGCAGCTTTTAGGGAGGCTTATGTCATGTCTCCAGTTGCACGATCGCACATGTTGATTTGTGGGTCAACACTCGAACAAAAAGGGCTGCCCCTTTCTTCCATGGCCACTGGGCAAGTCAACTGTTTGGATGGCGTGCTTTGCAAATGCTGCATGGTCCTTTTGACGCGCGGCAAAAGTGGCAAGGACTAATCAGTTCAGCCGCTTGTCCCGAAATTTCACAAATGCAGAACACACGCACAACATATAACCAACTGTGCCAAGGAAGAAATGAACACACATATTTCCACCCCAAGGCCCAAGACGCCACAAGATTTCAGAATGCTGAACGGCATGATCACCTGGAACAGGGCAACTACCTTGCGGCCCTTTTAGTTCGGGGTTAAAGGTGGCACACTGCTTCTCTATATTGAGCCATACAATGGCCAAAGGCACTTTAAATATGTGGCGCTAATATGGCCTTACTAAGCCTTACCAACGCGGGGCGTCCGCTTAGGGGCGGGTCCCTTACATTGAGTTTCGAACAGTTCTGATCACATCGGGCACCCTGGTGGACGATTCAGTTTGCCTTCAAGAGGAACTCCCAAAGCTGGTTCCGCTCGGCTTTCCTTTGAGCCAATCTCAAGGGTAGCATCGCAAGACCTGCGGCGGCTCACTTTGCAGGTCCCCGCGGAGGATGTTTGGATCGAGTGCGTCAAGAAGAAGCACGAGGAGATTATGGCAGGAGCCCATGTGCGTCAACCTGGGACGAGACAGGGCTCCTTAAAAGATACACTTTATCATTTTGCCCATTCGAAACATGGCTTGTTCCACCAAAATAAAGGGAAACCACCATTTACAAGGCAATGTTCAGGTGTATAATGTAAGGATCCCTGCGAGACCACAGAAGTGGTTTTCCTTCGGCTTCCCTCCAAGCCAACCTCAAAAAGGATGCCCTCAAAGGAACACACACCCAAGCGCTCGGGCCGACAAATCCGCCTATGGCGAGCGATTTTACCGATCCGCGGGTAAAATGAGTGAAAAGACGCAAAGCTCCTTTAACTGCGGATTCGGAAATTTTAGTTCTTTCGTAATTGTTGCAACATTTGAAGACTAATTGAGCAGCACCCCCAAAAAGAAGCCATGGTCCCCTTTTTCAGGCGGCTTCGCTGCACCGCATCCGGTGCAACAAGGGTTATAGTAATGCCTCATACCCCCTAATTGCAATCTTGGCGTTGCTCCAGTTCGTTGCAAGCCAACTCTATATACCATTTGCACCAACCCCAATTCTTTGTGTCCAGGGCCACCGATTCCATCCACGGGCGCCTGGGGCTGTACTGTAGGAGAGCACGCGTTGGGTTCACAACTCCCTGAATCCAACCAAGGCCTCGCAGAAATGCTGTCCATGAAGGAGTCCTCAATCAAAACTCACAAATGCACACCTTCTGTGATACCCCATGGGCCCATGAGTGGTTTCCGGCTTGCCTTGAACCCCCCCCCAAAGTTTGGTACCGTGAAACATGCCCACTACTCACTACTGCTATTGGGTCGGATCTTTCGACTTTAACTTTTTGGATTCCCTTCATATGTCCTTCCGAGCAATTCACAGAAGTTCCTCAGCGGTTTGACCGCATCCGCAGGAAAGTCGATGAAGGGCGCCACGGTCGTGGAGTCTCAGCACCCCTACCCCGCCAAGAGCCACACCTGGACGCAGGAGCGAAATACGCGGGTTGAAGCAGGGCCAGAAGTAGTAAACCCTAATCTTGGCGCAAGTTTGACCTAATGTTTACCTGATTTTGACAGAATTTGGTGACCCAAACTTGGCCTAGTAGGATTGATAGGTCCTAGTGTTGAGGTCTAGTTTATCCTCGTTTTGACCTGATTTCGACCTACTGTGCACCTGACTTGGACCCAATGTTGACCAGCAGGGAATTTCTCCAAATTTCGAGCCTCTCCAGGTGATTGGTTTTTGGCTACCGTCGCTGCAAAGAGTGTGGTTTGGCTCTGGCCCAGCTGACAGGCTTCTCTTAGCAGGGCTTCAATCCATGTTCTGCCAGTTTCCTTTGTGAGCTTTGGACGCCCTCATCAGCCGCACTTCAGCCCGTGCCACTGAGGTCACCCCAATCCTACTGGTTGCTTTGCCTGTGGACTTCTGGGCAATGTTGGTTCTAGTAGCTGGCACCCAAAGAGGTCGCTGGGCTTTGGCCTTCTTGGCTTGAGCCTCTTGGTTGATACCCACCCAATGGAAGGGTCCCCAACAAGTGTGTTCCCTTTGTAGGAAGGTGGTATGTGCGTCGGCCCGCACATGTTCCCCGTTTCGGAATGACGGTGGCAGCCAACGCTGTATCGCACTTGCGCTCGGCCAGGACGTGCATTTGGCGAAGGCCCAGAAGCTGCGGGTGAGCTTCGCCGAGCAATGCAGCACCTACGACGACTGTGCCACCTTTCAGGTCTTCTCAGGCGGGCAACCGTTGGGCGTTTTGCCGTTCGCGGCGGCCGAACTGGCTAAACCACCAAGCCATGCCCAGCTCCGAAAGGACGCTTGCAAGTGTACCGGTTGGTCGGCCTGTCGTTGGGACAAGGGATGGGGCAAGACGAAGGCTGAAAGGGGGAAGTGTTTCACGGGAGGTGCTTGAATCAACGTTTTAGACCCCCAAACATGTAGGAGGGAGTAGGTTGTTTTGACTGGCTAGCTTATTTTTGTTTCTTTGCTTCAGGTTCCATCGCAATGGGTGTCAACTCGTGTCGTTTTGGATCGGTTTCAGGCGGCATTTTAGAGCAAATCCTTACAGCTGGATGGCCTCCCCCAACGAAAGTTTTGCAGACTGCGCAGGGAGGGTTTCCACACTTCTGGGTGTCACTCTCGTTCCCCGAAATGGAGACCAACAGGCACACCCTGTGCTCACAATTGAGCTTCGTCGAGCAGAATGTTCTAAGGACTTTGCCCAGCCATTTGATGAGGAATGGCATGTATTGCTCTTGCGTGTAGCACGCAGGGGGCCATGGTGATACTGTGGATGGACGAAATCCGGCACCACCGAAGAACCCCTGGAATGTTGATTCCCCTGTAAATACCAACCAACAATGGTGTCTCATGGTTGCTCGGGTGGTGCAGGATTTCGTCCATCCACAGTAGTTGCCACGGTTGTCACAAATACAAACCTGGAAATAATGGTCCGCTGGCGGCTTGGCACCGTAGACCGTGGCTTGAATCATGAATGCTCAAACTTCATCCAGCCACCTTGGCGCGAAGAACTTTCTGGCACGTGCCAGGGTGACTCGGTGACGGGTTGGGTTGGTGAGCTTCAGGAAAGGCTTGGCCACAAGGGTGCTGGCCGGGCAGCCCAAAACCGAGCTTTTGGCCTTTTGGTTGTCTGATTTTGGTGCATGTTTAGTCATGGTCCCAAAAGGTTGGCCTTGTACTTCTTTGCGCAGGTGAGTTCACCTTTTGACACCTGTTTCGGCGGGCATCCAAGGTGGTGTCATGCAGATGGCGGGGTTTGTGCATCTCTCAGCCTGACAAACAAGTCACTGACGCAGTCAGAGCATGCCAGCAACAAGATTAGCGGGCCTCGGCGCCTATTTCAGGGTTTGGATGTTCCTTTGCCAGAACAGGAGAACCACACCGAGGAGACGTGTACGTGTGGCGCTTCTCTTGATTTGGATTCTGCCAAAGTCCGCTTTCTGTCATACACCTTGCACTCGCGTGTCATGATTCTTGAGCTTACGCCATGAAGAGCAGCATCATGCAATGAGAACAGAACAAACCGGTTCTAGGGCTCCGGGTGCTGTACTCCGAACGGACCTATTTGTTGCATACCCAAGTTTACACTCCATCCACCGACACACTTTGCCCATCCCGTGGAACATGGCCTTGCAAGGCGCCTGCCTTTGCTTCACCGCTTTCTTGGGTGTTCAAAGGCCGTAGGAATAGTACGTAAGTATGAGCCATGTAAGACCACCCATTATCCCAGTTAGAGCCATGGTGAGGACCATTTTCTTAAAGGCGGTCCTCCCAAAAGCGCATTTGGCTGCCGCACCAATGACCGCCAATGAAAAAGGATTGTTTATTCTCGCATTCATATTTGAAAATCTATGTGTTATATTAAGAATGAATTAGTTATTTATCATGCGTTCGCTTGTTCCATGAAGTTGGGCAAAATCTGCGCAGGCGGCCTCAGCAAGAGCACCGCTGGGGTGGGCGCCCGGGCACACCTCAAGGCCATCAGCGGCCCGGACCAGGCGCTCCGGACCGCGCGGTTCGGCTGGTGGCGTTTTTTGTTGTTGTTGTTTTTTTGGGGTCGCGGGGAGAGAGGTCCCGGTGTAGTCGAAATTCGATTTTTAGACCCCTAAAAAAGAGACCAACGGAGGAGGGCTGAGTCAGTTGGGTGAATGTGATGTGATGGGGGTGGGGTCAGATGGGTGACGGCGATGCGGGGGGTTGATGCCTGGCTCAGAGTCGGCGAGAAGTAGGCTGTTAATTGCCTTCGATGAAGGTGATGTCAGGGTTGCCTGGCTCAGAAGTGGCAGCATCTAGGTTCTTTTGGGGGTTGCGCCTGCTGTCAGACTGGCTTTAAACACGTCCCCTGGCCCAAGCTGACCCTTTGAACTTGTGTTGTGCCTGGCTAATGTGTACGAAAAGGTTCTAAATATGGTATGTTTTTTTTTCTTTTTTTTGGGGTTATTACTATCTTGTTTTGGCGGGTGGTGTGGGACAAGCCGCCTGAGAAAGAATGTCCCTGGAAGGGTCGAATTTGAAAAATAAAGTCTACCAGGAACTGCCGGGGGCCAAGCGAGGCCATGCATCGTATCAGCGGAGTGTCGCAAGTGACCCAAGTGCAGCTTGACCAGGTCCACGGGACCATGATCGGACAGGTGGAGGGCGAGAAATGGCGATTTGGCAAAGAGCATGGTGCGCTGGAAGATGTTTAACTTGGTTTCCCAGGGCAGGTGCGCCTTTCTTGGGAGTTCTGATGTTGGCCCAATATTATCAAATCTATTCATGGTCAAGACATGTATTGCCAGGTCCCTTGGGCAAGCAAGTGGGATTGATTTGATTGGCATGTTCGGTGGTTGGGGGCTTTGAACAGTTCTCAGCAACTAGTGGCTTTTGTTGATTTTGCTGGCGACCCTGGCAGCAAAAAACACATTTTAGGTTAATCTTCGTGCTGCCCCCCTTGAGTTAGCCAAGTTGTCCCGCTCACAGATTCGAGAATTGCCAGCAGATTCATCAGATGTCAGGAGTTTGTTGTTTTTGTTATTGTTTGTTTTGGGGGGTGGGGGTGGGGTGGGGCACACAGGAGAAGATCACGGAAACATTTGTGAAGCTGTTTCCACCACAAAGGATCGTGAACATCGACAAGGACGAATCCGAGATCTGTGGCTGCTTCAGCATCTCGGCTGCCTGAATCCGGCGCCTGTTTCCCCATCCATCTCAAATGCACCGGGGGCAAGCAGTTTGGTAGCCCCTGTGTTCTTGACCTGCTTCTGGTAAAGAAGGCCCTGGCATAGCTGCCTTGCAAGGTGGCACATGTTGCAAGCTTACCATGCATGGGACAAAACCAGACGCATGCCCATGAAGGCCTTTCATTGGTGTGACATGGTGTGACCATTTCTTCATTCCCACCGGTGAATTGATGTCATGTGCGGGTAGGGGAACCCTAGCATCGATGCCAACTGGCAGAGTGATGCTTTTCTTGGGGCGAAACATGGCAAACCTAGCTGCGAGTGGCCGGCTTTCGCGGACACGAAATGGATGGGTCCACGCCCCAAGTCTTCAGAGCGATCCCCTTCATGGAGCTCCAAGGGCTGGGGTGGGTAAGCCAAGTGGCTTTCTGGGTTTACTCTAGAGGGGATCGCCCACCTTGGGCCCTCCTGGATGTCCACCCCTCAGCTCCTGACTGAGGAGAGTGGCTGGACGCACAGCCAGGCAGAAGCTGCACGGCCACCTGCGCGCAAGATCCCACAGTGGTGTCGGTCAGGCGTCTCAGCTTCACTTTAGCCGCAAGACCTGTGGTGTTTGCCGGTATGTGGGTCTAGCTGAACTTTCCCTGGATAGGAGGGAAGGAGACGGACAGGTAAGGAGCAGAGCCTTTGCACACTTCCTCCTTCAATTTCCTTACCTGTTTGGCAGGAACTTAGTTGGTGGCGACTTCAAGGTTGGCACGCACTCTTAGGGGAGCTGTAGTTGTCACTGAAAGGCCTTCCCTTCACTTCACCATGACCATGACCTCACCTTGCATCGGATTGTTGTTTTCTCGCCCCTTCCGCTTGCACTGGTGCAAAACACCATTGCCAGGTCCCGGCAGGTGCTATTTGGGATTTGACTCCCCCCCCCCCCTTTGGGGCCCCCCTCAACACTCAAATCCTCAGAGATTGAATTTTTGCAGGTACACGCCGAAGGCAAAGGTGGGGAGTGAGATCGCCGGATTCACCTTCCATGAGGCGCGGGCCGGGGGAGATGAGTGTTGCGCCTGGCTAGGAGCATGGAACAGTTGCAAAGTTGCAGCTAGGACGCAAGTCACGTGTAAGTTGCCAAGGTGATTTGGGTATGGATCAAAATTCACCCACGAGGGGACCGCAGGTTTTAGTCTTTGTTTCAATTTACCAGGGTTCCATTTTGGGTACCTATTTTTGACCCACAGCCAATTGCAACAATGAAGATATTTGCAAGTGTAAATGTGCGTGACTTTAAAGATGAGCTGAATCATGGCTGCAGGGTGCGGTGAGTCTTTTGCTTTTGCAGTGGAATGATCCTGGAAAGCGATTTGCGCAGTGCATGACATGCATAGTTTGTTGGGAGTGACGCTAGGACCCGCCACACTCCCCAAAAAGGCTTTCATACTTTGCACCACCCTCACTTTTGCTGGAGCTATGCCCACAGCCCCTTTGCCACATGCCTATGCCCAGAAAACGCCGGGATTCTTCTGGTTTTCGGACAGAACATGGGCTTCCCAAAGCATTCTTCTCACCAAACTCCCCGGGCCCAGGACCCCTCCCAAGCCAAAATGAAAACCAGAGTGGATGAAGGGTTGTCGATGATAGTGCAACGACTGTATCCCACTAAGTTTGTTGTACGCATGCGATATTTAAACATGTGTATTACTATGAACAGCGATTATGAACGTTAGTTTTATCATGATTATTATTTATGCCATGCATGTTAGTATGGTTTCTCTTACTGTCATTGTGTTTGTTACGGTTGTTCTTACTTTGTGATTAGTATCATTACACCTTTGTAGATATATCCACCTACGCATTCCTGTTCATATCACAAACAAACAAAAAGACAGTGGAAGAGGCTGAGAGGGGCAGCTCCCTGGGCCTTCCTCCAGCCGTGGCGCAGGGCAGCCCGCTGCACCCTTTCAGCATCAGCGGCTTTACGGCGCCCGGGGGCCCGGCGCAGCTGAAGGGCGTCTTCGCCGGATGGTACCTGGACGTCATCGCCCTGCTGAAGCCGCTCGGCTGCAGCCGGGTGGTACCTTACGGTACCTTAGATCATATGTGTAAAAGGAGCCCCTCCAAGAAGGAGCCACCCCACAGGTGGAAATCATGCATTATGGACCCTGTAAGCCTCTAATAGAGGCTTCAAAGGGCAGAAAGAACCGCCCGATTTCTGGAGGCGACTTGTTTTTTTCGGGGGGGGGGGGGGGCAAAGGGGAAACAAGCGTAGTTTGGTGAAGGTACTTGGACTCTTCAACCACCAATAGACCCATCTTCAAAGGGTAGGAGTGGGTGAGTTTTGAGATGGGTTTCCTATTGGAAGTAAGGCAGTGGGGAACACGGGAATCCGGTCTACCTGCAATATGTAGGTGTAAGGCCAGTGTAGAGAATCAACCGCATTAGATTGGTCATGCAAGTGTTTTGGCATGTGGCTGGCAAATGTTGACGGACGGGAAGCCTGTGGGGGGGGGGGGAGGTAGGGCGTTTCGATATCCTTGGGCAACATGTTGTATCCATGGCGAGATCTTACCAAACACTTGCAAAGAAGTGATGTGTAGGGACATGATGGGACCTCCACGTACGTCCCCTCCTCCCGCCCCAGACACGCCACACCATCGCCCATCGGCGCCTCGCTTTCGGAGGAATGCGAAGTTCAAGAACCTCTCGGGGGAGGGCCTCGGCACATGCCCAAAGAACCTGCAGGACATGCTTTCTTTGTACAGAAATTCGTGGTGTAATCTGGTTGAATTTGATTTTGGGGCTGTCAGAATGAGGGACGGCTCTGGTGTCGTGATGGCCCCCACGGCCCCCATGTGAATCGATCCTTTTTGTTTGTTGAAGAGGGTGCTGAAGTTTGCACATTTTGCATTGGGTAGCTTCCAAAAGGCCTCGCCGCACGCAAAAAACGGAGTCAGCCCCCCTTAGAAATGCAGGAAAAGCGCGTCGCCCCACAAACCCTAGCAAGCCCTCCCAATCCAAAGACTGCCCCAACGGTTAAGAGCACCCTTTGTTTTGACCAAGTATTATACAAACTCTGGCAAAATGACGCGCATCAGATACAGTCAGTCATCAGGCCACAGGATGAGTCAAACAAAGTGAGGCAAGCCGAAGCAACCTAAGAAGGCGTCAGTGAATCAGGCCTTCGCATGCTTAGTGCATGGTCGAGGAGATCGCTGAGAACCTGGATGCCTTCAAGAAGCGTTTGGAGGCGGCGCTGGACCTTGACGGTGTGTGTCTTGGGCTTCGGTTTTTGGCCGTTTTTGGTTGAATTCTTGCGGAGGGAGTTGCTTGCATGCAGTCTCGGGATGGACGGACGGAGAAAGGTTTGGTCACTTCTGGCTTTTCGTCGGGGGGGTTATATTGTTGTTACGTTACCGTCCCGCCTAGCGTGGAAGACTGGAGGCCCCTGGAAGGCTAATTTTCCCACGGGATGGTGGGAGGCTTCGGTTTGTCCGGGTTGCCTTACGAAATCCCGAAGTTGCATGCGTCTTTCGCTGCATTTCATGAGTTTGAACCGATCGGAACAACCCTCAATGGTTGATAGACATACCACGTAAATGATGCCCGCCAAAATGTTACCAATAAAACTATAATAAAACTAGTCCACATGGGTGTTTCTCAGAATTAGGGCTTACCCGGAGAGACCCCCGTGCAAACCTTGGATTACTACCACCTGGCTGTTCACCAGGGGATGACGGTTATTTCAGAATAGAATCACTTTTGAACTGGGACCCCTTTTTTTAGTAAGGCGGGGGAGTTACAGGTGAGGAAAGCCAACACCTGAGTTAGCCATGGTGGGCTCATTGGAAACTTGGTGTTGGTGCTGAAAAGTCGGCGCTACACTGGGTGTGCAAAGCACGTGACGGGAGAATCGTAACAGCTTCACGTGAAGGACATACACGGACATGAACAAACAGAAATAATCAGCAGATAAATTTACAAGCACATTTATGAGGGCGTAATCATGGAAACAATTACGCAAACAAGATATTCAATATACATGTCCCGGTGTGGGTTGACAATCCGTCTGCTAGAGTTGCTCAAGCAACCGCTGTATGACAGGATAGGATGCCCAAAGTGCAAGAACATATTTTGACAAATCGGACCTCTCCTCTTGCATGGCGAAGGCAGGTTGCCCTTGAGCTTTGTGTGTGCGTGTGGCTGTTCGGAGTGGCCTTGTTCCTCAGGCCTCTCCAAAACTTGCATTTTTTTGCCACCCGTCCTCACGGCCATTTGGGGCTGCCACGAAGCCGAGGAATTTCGTGTTCTACAACGGCCTGGATTTCCAGCTGCTGCCCATCTGCGCGGTGCAGTACAAGGTGCCGACCAAGATCCGCTTTTCGCGGACGGATCGGCAATCTCCAGGTTGTTGAAGGGCAGTCTCCAGGTCCCCTTTGGTCTCTTTGGTGCATGTTGCTTGGATGTTAGGACTTTAACTTTATGCCAACCAGTTGCCCACGGTGGCCGGTAGAAATAGGCCACCCGTTTTGGGGGTTGACCTTTTGAGACTTGAGTGATCAACCTCAAAAGGGGATGTCTATTCAGGCTATTCCTACAGCCGCTGGGCTGGACACTTTACTTTTGAGAGATGGGCACTGGCGGAACTTTCAATGCTGGACAGGGCATCAAGGTCAGCGAGGAGATTGCAGCCTTCAACGCCAACGGCGCGCACCTCAAGTCGGTCGCCGGTCGCAACGCGTCGGCGCCAAAGCTTCGGCGCCAAGGCCATGCGAAGCCAAGGTGGACACAACGGGCCCCACAACCAAAGGTGGCAACCTCCCTTGGAGGTTGCCCAGTGCACACTTGGGCCAAGCCCTGGCCTTTAAACAGCCAACAGGAATCGATGATTGACAAGTTTGGCTGGTCATGCATGGTCCCACATAGCCTTGGCAAAGCTGTAGTTGGCCCATCTAAGCTCTAGCCATGTAGGGCTGGACATTGGCACAGATGCCACGCATGGTGTTTTTTTTCACCTTGCTTCCGTGTAGCAAGCATGCCTGGCCTGCAATCAGTGTGCCCTGATTACCGACTTTTCCTTGTCACCCACACACACACACCCGCATCGCATCCCTTGGCGGAAAACCATCGGACCCGCCCATATTTTCACATGGCATCGCTTTGAGAAACCACCGCAATTCCCTGGGCTCCCGGAATCAATCCTGTCGTTGCATTGGAAGCTCTTGCCAATCGTTGCTGTGTTTTCTCATTCCCCGGCTGCTGAACCGTCTTTTGCAGCGAAGGATGCCAGCTGGCGGGATGCGGCGGGGATCACTGAGGTGGCGTCCTGTCGATTGCCAGCTTCAAGCAGGATGGCCCGGCGCAGGGCGCCGGCGTGCGCGCCGGCTGGCATCTGAGCTTGACCGAGCGCCCTGGCGGAAAATTTTGGAGTGCCCGTTTGAACTTAGCCTCTGGGAAGCTGGGACCGAAAGGGGAGATGAGGACGCTAAGCTTTCCCTTTGAAAAGGGGCACCTGGTACATTTTCATGTCCGAGGGAGGGCTCCATTTAAACCGCAACTTTCCAGCTGGGAAGATTGCTGGGGACAAATGGCTGTTTTTTGTACTGTATAACCGTGTAAAAGGCAATCAACCTTTCAAAGTATCATTCAATCACCGGAAATCGGTCCGTTTTGGACGTTCAGCTTACATGTACTTTTTGTGAAGTAGAACCAAACACATGGAATTGGAGGAGCTGGCTGGCCCCTGAAATTCCCTTTGAAATTCCGAATTGAGCCAGGCTCATTTATGCAAGAGCACCCCTGCCGCAAGATAGCATCCATGACCGGAGAGTAGAGACGAGGGTCGTTCCAAAGAGCGGTCCTGAAAGATCTTAGACTCAGACCCGCGTGGGCCCCTCAGTAAAAATGAGTGCCCAGCACATCGCGGAGTCGTGCACCGGGCATCAACCGAGATGCTGGCTCACACAACAAGAAAATCAATGTGAAATCGACCGTTTGCACAGGGGAAAGCTGGATTGAACCATATGGGATTCTCTCCAAACGCCATGACCACAAGGGGTGGCTTCCCTTTGAAGACATAGCGGCAATCCCTACCAACAAGTTGCCAACACGAAACCTCTTTTGCAGGGGGAGGGCTGCCTTATTTTAGAGACATAGCATCGGCGGTCAAAGGATTACAAGCATCACTCGCCCCGGTCGTTTTTGCCCCGGCACTCCATCCCTAGGGACGAAATCACCCCGGCCTTCTGCCCAGGACCTTCGAGCGGGCGGAGAACAAGACGGCGCTGGGGGAACTCACTGCCGCGCAGGCAGGGCTTAACTCCAAGGCAGCTGGGGCTTGGTGGCCTTGTGGGGAAGGTTTGATTGAGAATCCTATGGTTCCACTGACTTCGGAAATCATTGGCCAGTGCCACGTGTTCGGGGTTTTGTTTCGTGTTCCGCGTCCGTAGCATCTCGTTTGCGGCAAAGGCATAGGCACACTGAGCAAATGCAAGTGTTTGTGATCCCCTGCCTCTGGGCCCATAGGGGGGGGGGGGGGGCCACACAAGCAGTCCGGAGGAAGGCGGGCATTAGCTCGAGACTTGCTGCTTCCTTGCTCCCTTGCTTCCTTTCGTTGCTTCGGTTGCCTTGCAGGTTGGCTGGTTGGTTTGGGTGGTTGCTGAGTTGCTTTGCTTGTTCATTGGTAGGTTCTTTTTGTTGGTTGGTTCTTTGGTTGGATGGCTTGTTTGGTTTCTTGGCGTGTGTCTGCCGTTCCCCGGGGGGGACGTCAAACTTCAGGTGCTGGAGGATCCCGAGCAGCTGCTGCAGCTGCAAGACCTCACTCTCATGATGGCCACTCGCCCCACAAATGGAGCAGGGCAAGCGGCGCCGGCCACGGGGGGGGGGTGCCTTTTTGGAGCTTGGCAAGCAGCAGGAACACGCCATTTAGGGGGACCGGCCTTGTTGTCGCAACGCCCTTCAGTTTGCTGGGTTGTTTCCAAGTATGGCGGTGCCCAAATGTAGATTTTCCACCCAAAGTCCCCAATTTCACTCAGGGAGCGGATTCAACTTGGGGCGCTTTGAAGCCAGGGTCGGACTGTTGTGTGATAAACTGCTTGATTAACTGGTTGTTTTTGCATTTTCGCGTAGTTATTCGACTATTGACCATTGCCTTTGCTTCCAACTTGGTTGTGGCAGTCTTCTTGTCCCTCGTGAGTTGTAGGTACAAGTTGCAATGACTGGCACAAGGCTTCCCTCGTTTCCCCTTAGACGGATTGACATCACCTCAGCTTTGCGATATTTACAATTTGGTGAACACTTGACAGCGGCCCAACTTCGATCGCCGGGCACTCGTGTCGTGTTGGGTGTTGAGATTTTGATGGTAGCATACGCAGGTCTAGTTGCTGGGTTGTCGGGTTACGCCCTCAGGTCGTTGTGCTTGGAGTGTCCTTGTCTGTCCGACGCAGAAACTGCAGAAGCCTTTGCATGCGTGCAAAGGAGCCGGCGAATGCTGCGCCGGAAGAGCTCTTCAACGGCTTCGGGACAGACGGGTGGCTGCTGTGCATGAATCATTAAGGAGGCTTGCTGATTTTGCTGCTCCCTGTTGTCGGATGTCAGAAGGCGTGGCTATGAGATTTGTTGTTTGAGGGTGATGCCCACTTGAAATGTGTACCATGCAAGGATGCCTGATTCCGCTTCAGGGCATATCGATGCAGATGATGCGGCATGGTGCGGCATGTTTTTTTTTTTTTGTTTTTTTAACTTGCAGATAAACGAAGTAGGAAGCAACTTGCTGATGCTTGGGATCTTTCCCAGCAGGGCGGTAGAGACAATCAACACCTGTCTGGATGAAGCTTCGCAGAGTCCCAACAAAACTACTGGATTCCTTTCATCCAGGACGCCCATGTTGGTGGGGGGTATTTGTCACGGGGCAGGCAACTGGAGGTGTACGGGGACAGTACCAACAAACATAGGTGTGAGATTCTCTACGTGTTGGGTACGCCATGTCTTGATCGTGCCTCACATGTGGCCAAAGTTTTTGAACTGGTAGAGCACAAACTTGTTTGCCAGGAACTAGTTCCTTTGTCTAACCACTTTGCAGAAACAAGGAACAGCGCTTGGATGTGTCAGCATACTCCTCTCAATGTCGAGGAATGAGAGCCAGCATGCAAAGCCGGCTCCAGTTGAAGCCATTTCAGTGCGACCGAGGGACAACTTCACCGTTCACAACAACACCGCCCAGTTCGTGTTCAAGTCCGATGGCGATGGCGGCGCCTTGGCAAACCAGTGCTCTTTTGGAGAACTTGCTAGGCTGGGAACGCTGATGAGGTCCTGGAACGGCTCAGGCTCTTGGGGGTTGGGCGGGCCCATGAGAGGCATGGGGGCTGCAGGCGACTCCTCGGAGGGCCGCTGGGGCGTCTTCGCAGCAGCTCGGCATTTCTCAGCGTGCTGTTTCTTGCTGGTGCTCAGTAGGGAATGACTGTGATGCAGGAAAAATACGTTGGCTTTGTGAATGAAAACAACAAGAAGAAATAAGCTTTAACAAATCTTTCAGGGAACCACCAGAGGCTTTCGGGTAAAGACCTCTCTCACCATTGTTGGACCCAAGAAAGTGTGCTTAGGGCCTTTTTCACTGAAAGGTCAACGGCTCAGGACGCAACTCCCAGAGTTTGTCTAAGCTTAAAAGCAAAGCCCACTGTAGGCGACCCCACAATCAGGTTGGTTTCCCTTTGGGGCCCTTGAGATTCCAACATTTGCCACTACCCAACTCGGAGATGAGCACTGTTTTCACGAGACGTCCCATCCAAAGAGCGCACCAACTTGAAGACGACGCCGACCTTGGTGCTTTCTCCTTTTCAGAGGTGCATTTTGCTTGGATGTTAGGACTTTCACTTTTTGCCAACCAATGGGTGTTCCAGTAAACCACTAGAAGTTACTCACTTTTAGCAGGGGAGCAGAAAGCAACCGAGTTTTTCTATGGAAAACCACCTTTGCCGAACCGTTCGGTCCCCCCACGGCCCGCGCATGTTTCCCCGTTCGGCGCAGGTGGTCACGGACGCCAAGGACCCGGAGCCCCAGGCGGCGGTGCTGGAGGAGCTGGCGAAGCTCATCCCGCAGGCCTTGGAATTCGGACGTGAGACGACGGGAGACCAACCGGGGCTCGATGTCGGTCTTGGGGATCCGTAGGTTTTGGTTGTTTTCTTTGTTTCTGTGTGTCCTTGCTTATGTTTGGGGATTTGGAGGTGTTCTAGCACCGGGGGCGGGGTGGTGAAACGAGCTCACTGTAGGTCTTGTGCTTGGGTATCCCTAACTTCGGGTTTGCGAGTATATAATTGTAAAGCATTGTGAGAACTGAGGTCCTGAAGATTACTGACTGCATTTCTTCCTTAGAATCACCCATCGTCTTTTGTTTTTGGGAGGGGGATCCTTACAGACAAGTCTTTCATTGGTGGCTTGAACAGTTGCAAGATGCTCGCCTGTCTTGGGGATCCATACGCTCGATTGGGGACTGTTGTTCGACAGTCTCAACGCACGACAAGATTGCAACCAAAAGCCGACAAGGGACTGCTGGTTGCCAATGTTGATTGACTTCTCAGGTTGATGTTCAATAGGAATGTCTCTGAATTAGTATGTTTGGGGACGTCTCCCTTATCTCCAAAGTGGGCACGTCCATGCAAAGGGATCGCATGAAGTATTGGTGGTACAGAAACCCAAGTAAATTTTTCCACCGAAGCACGCGCCATGCGCCCAACCACCCCCCAAGGAGCAGCTGAACGGGTCGATCGGTCGATCGGTCGATCGGTCGATCGGTCGATCCGATATCGCATGCCGCGGCTTTCGGCTGCGAGGCCACGGCGCAGATTTTGGGCACCACCTCCTCCCAGGTCTCCGTAGAGCCGGAGGAGGGGCAGTGGAAGCAGTTGCCCCAGGGTTCGTTTCAAGGATGCATGGAGGGTACCCCTTGCTTTGTAAGGGAAACCACAAGGATAACCACATTTTGTTTGTATTTTTTGGGGGGGTCCTCAAAAACGACACACCCACATCCTGGCCAGGTAAAGATTTACAGTACCTGCGCGGGCGCAGGCATAGATTTACCATGCATGGGAAACCTACCAATAGACATAACAGCGCGCACACAAAGTCACACACACACAGTTACAAACTTTGTTGGGTTACCCCTTAATAGGGTTTCATCCATCCCAGGTGCGTTTTGCGGGTCTCTCCATCCACAGTACCATCTACCTAAAGCACTCGCATAATCCAGCGCATCATTGTAGAGAGCGGCACTGAAATTTTGCTAGAGGTAGGCAAGGGCGAGTCGACGGGTGACTTTAGAGTCAAGTATTAGCTTTCCCTCAGCTGACGGGGTCCGAGAGACGTTTGGCAAGCAGCTGGGTGCAAGTCCCCTTGAGGAGAGTGACTTGGAGTAAATCGAGCGCAATAGGCGTTCAACCGGATGGGGCCCTGACCGTGCTGCCAGGACTGGGACGAAGCTCGGCTCCGGGCTCTTTGTGATCGACACGGCTGGGAGTTTGAGTGGATGACCGAGGACGGGTGTGGCGCTCGATCGCGTATCACGGCCTGAACGGTGTCTATCGACCGCCTCAGGGAGTCATCCATATGTGAGGTCTATCTAGGCTAAGACCAGTCAGGCTCATGAACTTGAGCCGGAACCAATACCTGGGCGAACAAAGAGTCGCTTAAGGCCAGCAGAAAGAGAATCGGCGGCGATTTTTAACTCCCAACTAGTTTGTTATGATAGCGGGCGTTGGTTGTGACGGGGTAGGATTCATCCATTCCTGTTGGATAAAATCGAGTGATCATTCTGTTTGTGGGTAGGTTGCTTTGTGTGGCGGAGCCCCGGCTTTGTGTATGATTTTGTGGTTTGCGCATGTGAGCGGACCATCTTATGTCTTGCCTGCTCCCCCACTCCGCCAGGTGCACAGAATATAAAGGCCATGCGCTCACCGTTCCTTTATGTTCCTTTCGGGAGCGCGAACAGGACCCCGACATAAGTTTTGTCTGCAAGAGGGGGGTCCTCTGTTGAAAAGACATCCATGCCAGAGTGCTCCTTCCAGCCACTGCCAACCTACTCCACATCCCTCCCCACAATGTGCGTGTGTGTGTGTGTGTGTGTGTGTGTGTGTGTGTGTTTGTCAAACTAGGGAGTCGGACCCCCCAACATAGCTTGGATGTTTATTTGGTTTCCCTTTGAAACCACCCTTTTGAAACCACCCTTTTGAAACCACCCCACAAAGGTACCCTCGAACCAGCACAGACACACGCACACAACCCACCCTGGGGTTTCAATCCACCTTTTTTTGGCAAAGGATTCGAATCCCTACTTTGACGTTGTCAAAGCTAGCTCAACCCGTCTTGAGCGTGGCGGAAAAACTGACTTAAGAGCCACCAGAGAAAGGGGAGGCCCCACCCTGGGATTGTCCGAAGAAGAGCTGATTTCCAACCCCCCCCCCCCGGATAGGACGGCGAGCGCCAGCGCCGCATCGAGGGCGCCTCGCGCGCCAGGCCTGCAGTGGTTCATTGGGTCTTGCGGGAGAGCAATAAGATTGTGGTCCCGTTGAACCACCCCGCAACAGGGTCCCTGAACAATTTGACGGTTTCTGGGTATCAGAGTCAGCAAATGGGGTCCTGGTTTCTTTGAATCCTACCCCTTGTAGGGGGGACTTTTATGAAGGTAAGCTATGAGGCCAAAACTCCAACCCAATCCGCACCAGGCCAATACTTGCAAGGGAATACATGGCTGTGGCTCACAACTTACCCAAAATGGAACCCTGGCAAATGGGAAACATGGACTAAACTAAAATCTGCGGTCCCCTGGTTTCTTGTTTTGACCCATACCCATATTGAAAAACCTCTTATACGCATAGTTTAGGGGCCTTGGAGGCGTGGGATCTGGGACACTCCAGGCAAGCGGCGGCCGAGTCGGCTGGTACAGCTCAGGCGCGTCGCCAGAATGGCTGGCTTTGGGGTAGGGGTTAGTCATCTTTACCACAAAGAGAATCGCGGTTCCAATGTGCTGGCCAGTTCAGTTCTTTGAGGGTTGGCAGGGATGGATGACTGTTGACTTTTAACAGCTTCTTGCCCGCATGGAGGTTGGGCTGTCTAGCGCCGTTTTCATGCAGCTTGCCACCATAGGAAACCACTGGGCTAGTGAATCTTCATGTGGAAAATGGGGGGAGCACCCGGACGGTGAAGCTACAAATCGCTGGCTTTGAGGCTCACCTCGGCGGGGTCGCTCCAGCGGGGGGGGTGAAACAGGGAGGGGCGGGAGGGGTGAAACAGGGAGGGACTCTTCCAACAAAAGGTGCCCAGTTTACCAGGGACCTGAAGCTGGTTGGCATGCGGGCTCCCCTAAGAACACGTAGGTCACTACAGGAATTTCTACCGGCGTTTGGCCAACTTCCTGTTGCTGATTTCTTTCACCCTCGCCAAAGCTCCAAGAGGGGGTTTAGGCGTTTTAGGCGCAGCACACCCAAGGCCAGTTTTGTAGCTGGAAGAAGTGCATTCCCCCCTGTCCGAATTGCCGACTGAGAGCAATGACGCGTTGAACAATTTGGTTTCCCCTTTTCTTTTCTGGAGGGCGTGGTCCTTCATGTTTCCCCTTGAACTTAACCCCCGCAAGGAGCCAAATTAGGGTTTCCCCTCAAAATTGGCGCTCTTCCTCAGAAAGCTTACGTCAGTTTGGGTTTTGCCAAAATAGGTGAATCCCCAAAAAATGATTGGTGTCCCTTTGGTTTCCTTTTGGTTTGGTTTTAAACCAACCCCAAGCCAGTAGTCTCAAACACGCACACACCCAACTCCTTTCCGAGCTGCAGGCGGAGTCTCGCACCGCCTGGTGGCGCCTGGACAGCATGAGCCGCGCCTTCAACGGAGGCGATTCCCGGCAGCTGCGACTCGGAAACGATTCGGTTGTGTGCAGCCGGGTGGGAGGCACTTTCCTGGTTTGCTGCGTTGAGTGGTGTTAGCCGTAGCTCTCTTTTCTGTTGGGGATCGATTAATTAGGCCCCCTGTTCTCACTTGGCGTGCATGCCGCCGAAAGACCGGGGTTCCGGGTGCACCGCATGGGGAAAAAGACCAGGAATCTGAAAAACGCAGCCCCCAGGAAGACCCGCCCTCTTTGTTTAAGGGTACCCTTTTCGGCTCGGTTTCGAAGGGGAACCAAGAGGAACGCCACAGTTTTTGTGGGGACTCCCCGCTGAGTTGACGCGTGCCCATGTGGTCTGGCAAGCAGCGCCGCTGAGGAAGAGGAAGATCCAAGCGCCCCAGCCCATCAGGACCAAGCGCCTTGGCTTCATGACTTCCGGCTCTCTGATCTCGGGGGATGGAGTGGAGGTGGCTTCCTTAGAAGCAGGCGGGAGGCTCCCCTTGAAAAGGCGAAACCCGAAGGAATCATGTTACAAACCATAAGGGAATGCAGCAGGGTGCATGCTTCGGAGCTCCAAGGGTTTCAAGCGGTGCGGAGTACCAATTGGAACAGGTTGATGCAGGTTTCATCCTTTGAATCATGCGAGTGGCGGAATCCGTTTGCACGGCTGGCTCCGGACCGCAAAGTTACGTGAACCCTGCACTGATGCCACTTGCTGTAAAAAGCTGCTTAGAGATTCGCAGGCGTGCAAGAAGTTCTTGGTCAATTCAGGCGGAGGATCATTTCGGGGCACACCGCGTGTTCATTTGCTTAGAAAGACCCGTGGGAAGACCTGAACCGCAAGACCAAAATGTCAGGGCCATGGCCAACTGCGTGTTGATTTCGAAGGACCCGGGTGGACGTCAAAGGCACTGAGAACAGAGGCTAGTTCTGACAGTGGTTATGGGTTGGCGATCAGCTAATAGAGATGATGAAGTTTCAGTACAAGTGGCGTCCACTCAGACGTTCCCTGCTAGTAAGGAGCATCATATAGGGTACGCTCAATCACTGCCAGCAACTGTGAGTGGTTACCCAATTTCCGTAGGCACGATGAAGGGAACCGTCCGTTCTTGTGTTCATGCTTGTTGAACGTAACTCGAATTCCGTCATGAAAGTAATGCTTTCCAGGTTCCCAGTGCAGCATTTGGGCTGCTCGGTTCCATCGCCTCGGGCACACTATCCTTTTGCCTCTTCTTTCAGGCATGGGTTTTTCGAAACCTTCCTTCCGCCTGGAAGAGGAGTCGGGGGAATTTGGTCGGACTGAGGAGCTAAGATTCGCCGAGCTGACACTTCAGTGATCGTCAACTTGAGAGCCGGTTCGGAATTTTGTGGTGGTTCGAGCGTTCCATGATTTTTTAGATGCGTGCTGCCTGTTGTAAAAATGTGGCTGTAGGAACCCTCTGCCAGAGGAATCTGCGCCGCACCAACGCCCACAAGGGCTTCAGCTGGTCTCACTGAGTGGCTACCCGCCCTGTGCTGTCAAAGGGCCACAGGAGCGCTGAGTGGCTAAACTGTCGCACACAAAAGTGCGCCTCATAACTAAAAAAAACTTGTAGAGCAGAACAAATGAGCCCGCCGCACAGGAGAGTATGTGCTCGGGGCTTGCCCGAGCTGCAGGATTTGATGATGGCGATGCTGTATGTTTTGTTGCGTCGGGAACAGGGAGCTCAGCTGGGAGGCGACCCAGTTTTGTTGAGACTGGGTGCGCGGTGGGTTCGATGCTGACATTTTTGGTGGCCACGTAAAGCCACCTTGCTTTAGCAGAGAGTGGAGCTGAGTTCCGAGGGCCAAAGAGAAAAGCGACTCGTGTGTGTGTGTGTGTGTGTGCGCGTGTGTGTCGCCGGGAGTGGGGTGGGGCTGGAAGGCTAGCTGCGTGTTTTCGCTGTTGGCTACAAGTGAAGCAAGAACATGTAACGGGTTCTTGGCATTAAGCCAACACCAAGTGACAAGGGAGCAGCTTCGATTGCCCGATTCCAATTGGAGCTTTGTGCTCATGACCTGCGGCATTTTGCTCACTCCAAGCGTTGGCCCAAGGAAGTTGCAAGTGGTGCCCTTGTTGTCAGGGCACGTGTGTGCCTTTCAATGATGTTTGTTGTTTCAATTGATTTGGCAGAATGTGCGGGAGCTTCTCGTTAGGTGAGGGTGCTTTCCCTGCGGACGTTGGCTCGCACATTGGTGGCGCTCGGGGCAACGCAGAGTCTCAAGAGCAGCAGCCAGGAGCAGAACGCTGATAAAAAGAAGTATTGTGCCAATAGGGTCCAGGCATGAGGTGGACATGTCATGTTCGATGCATGGAGTGGACACGTCCTGCTTGCCGCTTTACTTATTGGTTTGTGAGAGCTCAGCCACCCTGCACTCTGTCCGCAGCTTGTTTTATGGCCCACAGGCCCAGGGATATTGTCCACGCCTCAAGCGGTGCAACCTATTGGAGTGCGTCACCTACATGGCGCCATCAACGTTTAGCGCAATGCTGAAACCTGTTGTGGGCTGTTTGATGGCTTGGCACTGCCCGGAATGGTTTGCACGCTGATGGCCTTGACAATGTGAGGATATGCCCATTCTGCATGTTTACCCTGCTGCGAACACCCCCTGAGGCCCTGATGGGAAAACACACACGGACACACCATGAGCATTGTGAGTCAGGGCTTGCTACAAGAGCCAACCCTGAAAATGACCTCTTCTGTTTGGCGTCAGAGTTGCGTTTGTTTAAGCAACGCTTCACATTACACAGCCCGGGCTTTTGTGGGCTTTGGCAAGGTTCTGCCAATCAACAGGTTCGCTGGCGTAGCATCAGAGGAAAAACCTAACAACCATGTCGGTGCTTCCCCTAAACTTGAGCAGCCCCTGTGTCAGGGACAACCCAAGCAGCAATGATGTGGCGGGCTTCGGTCCAGCATCTCAGGGAGAAGCTCCGGAAATGCCTAGGATGTGTTGGCAGCCGCAAGGGCCAGACTCTCGGAACAGGTTTCCCTCCCATTCGAATGCATGCCGACCTGGAAGCGCCGCTTCTCCTCGAGAAAGAGGATGAGTTGCTTGGCGGAAAGTCGGTCGGGGTTGCTCCTAATCTTGGAGCAAGGATCAAACTAGAGTGGACAATGGGTCCTGTTTTTGTCAGTTTCCCAGCTGGTACAACAAATCAACCTACCCTGCCAACCATTCAACAAGCCATCCAGTCCAACCCAATGATGCATTGCACCCGAGCATCCCAATGTAGACATCGCTCGTGACCTTCAACTAGCTTCCACTACACAGGCCTCTGCCCAGTGGGTTTTGAAGTTTCCGAGGCAGGCTGTGGGTGTGCACCTGCAAAACCTTGACAAGCGCGTAGACGCCTTTTTTGGACGCCCAGGGTTCCTGCAAGGTTCTGTATTTGCCACGGGGGTCGCCAGAAGGGGTGAACTCGACCGTTTGACTTCTGTTTGTCCAGTTGCCCCACCTTTTGACCGCTTGGGTGCGACTGGAACGGTTTCACTTGTCAGGGTTGGGCAAAACAGGCTTGAACACTCAGACCCCGGCCCCCATGTCAAGGGAAGCCAGTAACTTGTTTCAACAAGAATATGTTCCTACTGGAAGAGCGTAGCGGTACCATTTGATAGATCAATAACATGAGCCAAAATGGCCTGCCATTTTGGCTCAAGCTTGCCCCTACTCTTTGGTGAGAGAAGATTTCCAATCCCCTCCACTCGTTCTTCAAACATGTCCCACTCGGAAGCAAGCACCGATTCCTTCGACCTTGTGGAGTCGCCTTTGGTGACGGAGGAGGGTGCATTGCATACGAAGCTTCAGGACTGCATCACGAAGCTCTCGCTCAAGTCTGAGCCGGCAACGTCCGCTCTGCCTACGGGTGCCTCGTGCCCCGGGGTGCAAGCGGACACGCCGATGGCAGATGCACGTGCGATGGAGGCGAGTACTCCGAAGCCGGAAGGAACCTCCCGGACGGTGGAAGGGAAAAGCCCACCGCACACGGACGGTGATAAGCGAGGACAAGACCATGCTCCAGGAGGAGGACATCCGATCGGGCCTGGGGCCCAGGCAGACCCCGGATCACGCAAGAGGCGCTAAGAGATGGCGGGCTGGCTCAAAGGGAGTTCCTCTCGGGACCCCCAGGTGGCGGAGGCGGTTCGCCTGGTCAAGGAGGGCTACGCCAAGTTCCAAATGTTCCCGGATTCATTTCCTGCGATCCCTCACTCCATTGCCAAGGTGCTGAGAGGCACCTGGCCGAATTCCGGACGACATCTCTACGACATCCGGGAGGATCATTCAGCCGGCGAACTCCCACCACGTGATGGCGGGCGAGCCGTTGTACTAGGACATGGTCTCTGCAGTTGCATAGAGAACTGGAAGTACACGCTAACAATGAAGGAAGGGGCTCCCTTAGGTAGACTTTGAGGTCTCCGGGAGTGTGGCCACTCAAGGGGGAACTCAAAGGAGATGAAGCAGAGCGGGGGAACTCCTGCTCCTCGCACCAAGGAGCAGACGAAACTGCTTGTCGTCCGAGGACTTTTCTGCAGAAATCCGTCACACCTTTTTGGAGGAGGCACAGATGGATATGAGAACAACACTGAGTCCAGACCATCCACTGCGCAGGAGCAGGGGCCGCGCAACTCCCTGCACCACAGGTGCCCCGTGACCTGGGAGGGTGGGCCACGGCGGTGAGGACCGATACCGTTTGAACAGTACTCCTCCTACCTCCCGAAGTGCGAGTGGTGGGGGTGCAGCGATGCAGGAGCCTCTGCCGAAGGGGAGGCATCGGGGGAAGCAAGCCCGGGAAAGGATTCAGTCTTCTGGTTTCACCTCAAGGTGGACCATCATGGGCATTCAAGGACGCAGCGGCGACCCTGCTTTTGTGCAAACTCCTTGCCAAGAAGCAAAGTGACTCATCCTCGCAAGTCCAACTGCCGGTGGGCAGTGACAACCAAGGAAATGTCCATGCTATGCTCAACCTCTCGTCCAACCATTCTGATGGAGTTGGTCTTGCAGCTCCATAAACACGGGCGCGCCATAGCACCCAACCACATCCCCGGAGAGTTTTAACACCTGGGCGAGCTCACGCACCCGGGCTACCAGGGTTGCCGCGTGAAGGTCAAGGAGCTGACCCAGGACTTTGTCCTTCTTCCTTGGCTACTGAGAGAGAACTTTTTAAATTTCTTCTAGGCTCCACCCAAAATCCCGTGACCGGATTCGGTGGAGATTTGCGCTCCTACTGACCCGCCCCCCCCGGCTCTCAGGTGCCGCGTGCCCTGGAGGTGAGCAGAAACTAGCCTGGCACACCGGTGCCATTTTGGTCATATGGAGGGCCCCCAATCCAATTCTGTTGAAAAGTTGCAGCCATATGCGCGGAACCACTTAGTTGCTGCGCTGGAGTACCAATCCTCCAAAGCATTCTCAGTATGTGGGGCTGTTGTGTTTCCCGGTTCTGGACCCCATTTTTTGTCGTGAGGTCTTGAAAAGTATCTGAAGTGGCACACCAGCTGAAACGAGTTCAGACAAATTGGCCGGCCCCCTCCCATTCCCTCAGAGACTTGCACGGGCCAAACGCAAGCCGAGGCAAAGCAAAGTTACAGGGGCCAGGGGCTCAGACGCGTCAGGCGTGAGTTTTACTCAGGTCCTGGTTGCCTCGAGAGACCCCCTCACTTGGCTGCCTTTGGTTATTTTGGGGCGTATGGACCCGGCAAACCACAGCTAGCAGGTTCATACCCCTTTACGAGCAACCATGAGCTTCCGGTTTTTACGTGGTGACTCCCAACATGGTTTGGTGCACAGGCCCCTTTCCAAAGACGTCTTTGCTTGTGGCAAGGCGGCCAGTGCACTTCCATGCTTGTGAGTGGGAGGGTAGAGGGGTCCCCATTTTCTCCGAGCCAAAGGCGTCCAAATTCGAGAGGTTGGACATCCACGATGTCAAGATGCATCACGTGGTTGCCAGCAGTTCAAGCATTATATGTCGTTTCGCGCTGCACGCACAGGGTGCTGCACAAAAAGGGAGGGCATGGGCCTTATGGTTGAGGTGTCCAAATTCGCATTAGGAACTGAGAGGCCCATTGCCCCCTAGCTATGCACCAAAGCCTTCAGGAAGGCCAAGGCCGCCCGAACAAAAGCAACACATTGGAGGCTCCTTGCAAAGTCTTCCAGATGGTTGACACATGTTTCGGCCAATTTTGTTCGCTCAGACGCCGCTCATCCATTTGTTTTTCTTGCCCAGCTTCGTTTTGACAATGTTACATCAAGTAGTTGTTTTTGGGGGTTTGCCCCCTTAGGTTTGGCTCCAGAACGGCCCCCTCTACCGCAACCGCCTAACAGGGTACCACAGACCTGCTAGAACCCCCCCCCCTTTTCAGGTGCTCAAACGCTTCGGCCGTGCAGCGGCGGAGTACCTGGGCCCTCCCATCATCCGAGCCTTGGAGTTTGCTGTGTTTTTTTCCTTTGAACGTGGTTTGGTTTTTTGGTAGTTGGTGGTTGGTACTTCGGCTGTGCTTGTTTTGGTGTGTTGCTTGGGTGTAGCTGCAAGGGATGTTTGTTGGTTGGCCAGACTCAGACGGTCAGGATTCGCAAGTAGAGATAGCAGCCCGCCTGCACTTGGCCAACTTGCACTGGGCGGTATCAGCCATGGGGGTGGATGGAAGTGGTGGGCCTCTCCTCCAAGACGAGCTCACATTTTGGGGCTAGACGAAATATGAAGACCAGAATCTAAACATGGGAGGTTACAAACCCGCTCTATAATTCTCACCAAGGCATCTAAACCCTGAAGGCACCAGAATCAATAACCCCCCGGGATGAAGCAGAATCTAAACATAGAAGGTTCCGTGCACCACAAGAGCTCAGCCAAGCGTGGTGGGTATGAGTGGGCGTTAGTGATATGCGAAAGACATGCAATCGCTGACTTGATTGCCAGAGGGAACAGGGGAGGTGGCAGTGGCGAACGTCCCCCATGTTGAGGCTTGGTGTAAATGAAGGGGGGGTCCAACACGTGGGTCTGTTCTGGGAGCCTCACGATGTCTTGTGCTGCCTATGGGAGCCATACGACCCTGATGCACTACTGTAGCGGTCACACGGAAGCGCGCCTAGCGATTTGGGAGCCTTGATATCACAGAGCTGGTTGCAAGTCTGGCAACCATGATCATGAAACAATCATGCCAACACTGCTTCACTTGGAGGTAACCAGAGGAAACCATTTTGTCAAACCTAGAGGTAAGAGACTTTGGTCTTCCACTATAGTAAGCACTGGGTGTGATTTTTCTTTCTTTCAGGCAAAATGTGGACGAGATCCAGCAGCATGGAGTGGAGGTAACTTTGACAAACCCGCGATCACCGTTAGAACGCTTGCCGCGCAGTATGTCTCCGGCTGGGGTGTGTAGATTGCTTGCACAAGTTGTATGGAGGTCCGAGCCTGTCGACTCGGGCCATTTGCTGCACAGTAATGCCTCTTTTATGCGCGTTGCTTTGCCCACAATCTGATGTGTTCTGCGGCTGGCATCCGGCGAAGAGATGTTGTGCGATGCACCGGATGTGGACGCCTGAGCACATGTCGCGGGCCTCGTTGCCTTCAGCCCAGGCTCCTTCTCGCAGCTCAGCAACCGCTTCCAGCTGCAGCGCGAGCCCTTTGGCCAGAGCTTCTCAAAGCTGCTGTCAGGCGCGCGCGCGCGCGTGTGTCAGGGGAGACACGGCTGAGGTGTTGCCCCACACCTTGCGGGGATCGCTTGGCCTTGGGGCGTAGGTCTCCATGAGTTTGCCAACTGGGCAAAGACATCACTCTTGTTCAAGGGGCTGGGTGCGGGACGTGTTTTAGGGTTCATGAGCAGAATTGGCTTGCAGTTGTGCAACGTGCCGTTTTTGGGGTCCGCTTGATTCGTTGTTGAAGCGCAAATATATTCAGCAGCCCCCATTCTTCGGAGTACTGACAACTCTTCTACCATGTTTGCGGTGAGGCACTTCGCGTCACCGCGCTGTGCATGATCACGTTTCGACCAGCTCGTAGAAGTCAACGAACCACAGCAGCTGGCGAATGTGAATCAACCCCCGTTTATTTGTAATAGGCGTGTCCCTGGGTTTAGTGGGGGAATCCTCACTTTTGGAGGGGAACCCCCCCGGATTTGAGCACCGCGGGTCCATTTGCCTCACCTGCCAGGTGCCCAGACCAACCTGGAGACAGTGGGCCCCTACGCTCGCTTGCACCTCAAGGTGCATCGAGCCTCAAGGCTGTGGCTCGGCTAAGGCAATCTCCAGGCAAAGGACTCGTTTTGGCACGAGAGCTAATAGGCAGACAATAGGCAGATGGGTTGCCCCCAACAAAAGCCCGGATTTCCAAAAGCACAAGTTTCAAGTGCTGATATTGTCGCAACGGTAACCATGGGCATTCTGCTTGGAGCTCTTCCAAGACCTTGAAGCACACGACTTAGGGTAGTTGGACCCGGTAAATCAACCTGTGCAAGTTGGATTGGGAGCACTGGAAGGGTGGCAGCACAGGTTGGCACTAGACTATTGCGGGACCTCTGACCCGTACGTGGAGGTCTGGGTCAATGACATCAAGCAGGCGCATGTGACCCTGCACCTCAGTTCTGCAGAGGGATAGGTATTGAAACCCCTTGATTCATTGGGGTGTCCTGATTGGAAGGGATCCCTAGCGAAAATGCCGCATATTCATCCCCCCCCCTCCGCTTGTTTTTTTGGGATTAAAACAACGCTTGTCGATACGCTAAGCACCTGCCGTGCTTTGGCCAAACCCTGACAGATACCATGACTCTTTGAGGCCTCAAGAGGACGGAACTGCCTGCAAAGTCACTTCTGCCACCAAATTGGGAAGCGCAGGGCCGTTTCAATAGGAAGAATTCTCTCGCACATCTTCATCTCAGCTGTGCAGTGGCGCTGCGCTTCCTTTTCCCGAATGCTGGCCTCGAAGAGGCTTCGATTAAGTGCACGAACACATGATTTTTCTCCCTTGACTTGCCATTTCCACCTTAAGATGTTCAAGCTGCTTGGGCGGGGATACATCAACCTCCCATCACTCGCAGCTTGGTTGGGTAGTGTAGCCCCAAGCACGTTTAAAGGTACCAGTCTCAGCCTGCCAGGTCAAGAGCAAGCACGTGAACTTCACGCTGAACCCCACCTGGGACTTCTCGGTAGCTTGGCAGTCAGTGAATGAGGTCATCCCTGAATGGCAACAAATCGAAAACCGACTAACATTTGAAGGAACACACATTATGGCCACACCTCACCAAGAGAGACCAAAGTCACCCAAAGTCACCCCATTCGAAACCACCCCCTTCCAGCTGATCCATTGCTGCTCTGCGTGCCTTCCGTTTTCACAACGTTCGTTGTGGGCTGTTGTCAACCTGGATGTTGGAGCTTTCGCGGATCCTTTTAAAAGCAGAAGGCCAAAAGTGGCCTTTTTGTCTGGAACCCCTGGCTCAGGAGATCATCGACATCTGGTCTCCTTTCTCCATCGTGACCCTGTGCCACAGCAGCATTGGTTCACCCGCAAAGGATATAGGGGATAATTCTAGGGAACCCAGGATCCATATGATTTGGTTGATCAATGGGCGTGTGTTGCGTTGCAAAAGGCCAAGTTGAAAGGGATAGAGGGCTGATGTGGTTTGGGTGAGGCAAAAGCCCGGTATTCTCACTCATTGGCAGATTGCATTTGGTATTATTTACTTCCCCCCTCCTTCTTGAATGACATGGCCAGTTTCCTCCAAGCAGCCTGCCTGAGAGACGAACGGTGCGTATTCGCTGATCACCATCTCCGGCCATGAGGGAAGTTGCGGATATAGCTGGGCCGGAAAGATGCGTGCATGTGTTGAGTTATGGAGACAGAAAGGCCTGGCTGTTCAAGGAAGTCACTCGTATCAACCAACAGCAATTTGCCTATTTTAAAGCCAGCTCACCAGGGGGTAACACGAGCTCACCATGATAAAGGTCCTTTACTTGAAGATCCCTTATTCAGCTTGTGGACATATTGTAAAAGCCACAGAGCAATGCAATAAGGGTCGAAGCTGAATGCCCAAACTGCTGAGCTGGCACATGTCAATTGGTGGCAGGGCAGGTGCGAGGGTTTGTCGCTGGCAGGGCTTAACAACTAGCTGCATGGAAGCGACCTTCCAGAACACAAAGGCAGACAGACACATTGACCCACATAGATATACTAGACACAATTGTGCAAGAAGGCTAGTTCTACCTGTTTGAAGTTTAGGTGGCTACTTGCTTTCCTGGTATCTCATTTGCTGACACAGTCACCATAGGTGTCCTTTTTGGTTGTTTTGCTAGAAAAAATAGATGGCCCTGGTTTACCTGGTGGTTTAATCATCTACCAGGGCCATCTGTTTCCCTTAAAAGGACACCTATGACAGTCACTCTAAAGTTGACCTGGTGCTTTTGGTTGCCGCAAGGCGTGTTGTGGACTGGGACCGCGTCACGGAAGACGAGCCTCGTCGACTGGGCGGGAAGGGGCCTTTTTCAGGCTGTGCAGGTGGGCTATCCCCTCTGCCTTTGCCACACCACAGGTGCATTTTGCTTGGATGTTGGGACTTTAACTTTTTGCCAACTAATTAATGGATTTTCCGTATTAAACCACTAAATGTTACACTTTTAGCAGGGGAGCAGAAAGCAACCGAGACACGTCACGGGGACCATTTCTTGTTTGATCGGGTCGGATCTTTGTCCTTTGTAAGTGCGCCACAGGGAGGGCACACTCTTTCTCTGCCTTTCGGGTGGGGTGGCAACATGTCCCGTTGGGCCATTGGTTTCAGCGGGTTGCATGCAGGAGGGTAAAGCAAAGACGTCAGTCCGCAGTTCGTAGAACGCTCGCGGAGCTCGCTCCCCTTCGAAAACCCCCCCCTTAACCTTCCCACACTCTTGGGGCTCGTGTTTGTATGTTCTGTACATTTGTAACCGCCTGGTCGTTGACACTACCCCTGGTGGGTTCGCAGAACTTCGCAGCACGCTTTGTCGGCAATACTAGGTCTTACAGTAGGTGCCGCCTTGACCTCGCACCGGTTTTACCCCCTCCTGGTCTCCCCTAATGTTGCTTGCGTCTCCTTTTGGTTGAGCCTTGTTTGAAGGGCAAGTATTTTAGACGGAACCTTTTATTTTTGCGAGCCATGAGGAGCCTTCGGTTAGCTGCCTTGTATTTGAGCCTGACTGTCAGACGCGTTCCCCAAGAATGGCACATCAACTCTACAAGCAGAACCACCAGTCCAATAGCGGCTTGACCGTCACCAACGCGGGCGCGACCTCGGATCCCATGAGCTTGGCATGTTCTTTGGGGGTGCATTTTCTGTTTTAACTCTGGCCCCGTTTCCCTGCAAGAGACCTATGTTCAGGATGGCTTCCCATCGAGGCCAGAGCTCACCGCAAGCAAAAAGTTGGTACATTGAAATCAATGGAGTGGAGCTCATCCAGGAAGTGAAACACCCAGCATCCTTTGCATTTTTTAATGACGGCACCTCCCCTATTTGAGCCCGCTGGCTGCACAGCCCGATGCCCGCAGGAGCCATGGGAACACACAGAGAACTAAAAGGAGTCGCAAGGCCTTTGGTTCCCTGTCTCCGGCCAGCAACAAGCAGCTTCTCCGGCCAGCAAGCAGCTGCCCGACGTGGAAAACGAGCGGCTCAAAGCCGAAGCCGTTGGGCCTCGCTGAACCGCCGATTTGACGCATCCGAGGACCCCATCGGCTTCGTGGACTTCTGCGTGGCGGACCTGGAGCCCAACGGCCCGGAGGTCAGGGGCTGGACGCTCGGAGTATTTCATGCGGCCTGGGTCGGGCTGTCTGCAACATGTGTTGTTTTCCATGTTTCTTTTCTTCCTTTTCTGAATACATGTATATATATATATATATGGTGGGGTAACAGGACGGGAACAGGGTTTCCTCCACTTCCCCTTTTGACACTTCCACTTTAAAAATGGACACCACCAGCAAATTGCAATTGTTCAAGAAAAGTCCAACGACCCCCCGTAGATGGTTTTTAGCTTCTGGGTAGACCAAAGAAGAATCTGGGAACATATTTCGAGGTACCAGCCAAAGAGTTGGGCCAAGTTAGAGTCAATTTAGGTTCCTTACCTGGTTCCAGTTTGTCAACTACAGTCAGTGCCCAGCGATTTTTGTTTACTTCTTGGGTGCTTCAAAATAAAGTTCAAGCGCCTTTGGCAGGAAGCTGAATTCTAGCTGAGGTTGGAGCTGCGGAAGATGTCCAAGATGCAGAAGAATGCCCGGAAGCGCTTTCTGGAGCACAGGCCAGCGGGCATGGTCTGGGTTCCCTCGATGGCTTATTGCAATGGTTGTGGAATATCTCCTGGGAACCCAGGCGAGAAGGTTTGAACATAGCTGTGGTAATAATAGTGGGAGCCTTGATCTGTGAGCGTTGGTTTCAAAAGAGCCAGCAAATAGTAGATGGGCTTTGCGCAAAGCAGGGGGGGCTCCAACAACGGATGGTGTTCATGTGGTTTCCCCTTGAAAAGCCTCTCATTCCGTGGCAGCAAGCCATCGGCATGTCAATTTTGGAACCCAATGTGTGGCGGCTTGAGGAGGTACATGCGCAGGCCAGAATTCGCTGGTGCCATTCAGAGGGGCACCCCCCAATGCTTGACCCATGTTACCATCATCAAAAAGACACACATTTTAGCCTGAGGGTATCTCCAAAGTGGAGGATGAGACAGCCTTGACTGTATACCTGACTCTGACCATAACTGGCCTCACGTGGAAAGATGTGAAAAAGACCTCAATTCACAAAACACAATCAGATGAGCGGTTGAATCATGCTTAAACACGGCGTTGGCCCAAGCCTGGTGGGCACCGGATTTTGCCAGAAGTGAGCACCGCTTGCTTTGTGCCTTTTCGTTTACGCCATGGCCATGTACCAAGTGCAGGGTGGCGAACGTGGAATCATCGTGCGCGGCACAGCGGACTTGGTGTCGCCTCAGCTTGGCCGAGTGTCCAACGGTGCCGTCCTCAAGGAAGTGGAGCTCCGTGAGGGGCGGATGTCCTATGAGCTGGTGTCCGGCACAGGTCCTGAGAAAGGCTGGGTCACCATGAACCTGAAGGGCAAGGACTTGTTGGTGAAGCTTCAGGCCAAGGAGGTCGAGACCCAGGAGGTGTCCACCAGCGAGGGCGAGTCCAGCGAGCCAAAGGACGAGCTGCCCGAAGAGGAGGCGGAGGCCTTTCAGCAGTACCTGGAGAAGTTCGGGGAGAACCGCTGCGGGGGCCCGGGCTACAACCGCAAGGCCTTCCCCTGGGCCACGGCTGCCCCGAAGCGTGCCACCGGCTGCAACGAGGAGGACCTGCAGGCAGCCCTGAGCGCGCCGAAGCCCAAGGTGGTGAAGGCCCGCCGCGGCGCCACCGCGGTGGACTCGGATGGGGAGGAAGTGCCCTTGTGCTGCAGGTGCCACATGCCCGTGGGGGAGTTCGCCTACGAAGGTCGTGAGGGTCGTGGCAGCTGCGTGCACGCAGAGTGCATGGCCCAGATTTTGGTGGAAGATGCTCAGCGCCAGGAGGATCGCCGGGCCGGCTGGGAGACCGAGAAGAAGCTGCGGAGCCGCCAGGACTACGACATCGGCTGGCGCTCGGACAGCGTCCCGAAGAACGGTCCCTGGGCCAAGCGCTTTGGCCTGGAAGTCTCCGAGCGAGGCCTCGTGGCCTTGGTCTTGGACGAGGCCTCAAAGACCGTGAAGGCGGCGCCAACCTTGGAGCCGGCCGCCGGCGTGAACTTGGAGTACCTGCTCTTGGCCCTCAAGGTTCGCAAGACGGCCTCGCGCGAGCCGCTCTTTTCTCTGGACCCTGTGGACCCCCAGAACTTGGAGAAGACCCCGCAAAAGAAGATGTATGAGCCCAGCTGGCTGGCAGGCACCAGTGTGGGAGATGTCATGTTCCAGGCGGACTACTTCCTGAAAGAGCTGGCCCTTGGAGAGTATGAAATGCCAGTGGCTGGCATGCTGAGCGTCTTCGATTGGTCGGAGTTGTCCGACAAGGACAAGGCCTGGGCGGGCCGCGAGTGGTTCGTGGTGCGGAAGGCGGAGGTGCGCCTGGCAGAGGACAAGACCTTGGTGCCCTTTGTGAAGATGGGGGTGGAGGCCCGGGAGCAGATGGTCACCAAGAAGGGCTTGGAGGATGCGCCGGTGACCGCATCCAACCACCCCCTGAAGAAGTTTGCGGATGCCTTCAGCCGCCACTTTGATCTCATCGCGGAGCGGAAGAGCGTGGTCTTCCACCTCAGGGAGTTGGCCAAGGCCTCCGTGATGGCCAAGTACCTCGTGGACTCCAAAATTCGTTTGGACCCCCAGTGGTACAAGATGGCGGACGAGATCGTGAAGTCCACCAAGCCAGAGGCCCACCCGGAGATCCCTCAGCTCTGGAACATGCGTGGCAACTCCCGCATCCAGCTGAAGAACGGCCGCCTCATCGACATGTTCACCGGCGGCCACAAGAACCTGCAGGCCATCTACGGAGGCGTGGAGTTCGGCTTGGACCGCTTCGAGCTGGCGCAGCGCCATGCGCTGCAGGGCCAGACGGGGATGCAGCTGGGCCAGTCGGGCCGGCCTATGTTCATGCCCCAGCGCTTCCAGTTGGGCCAGCGTGCGGAGATGCCCCAAGGTGTGGATCTGAACCTGGACAAGTTCGACCTGAGCCGCGTGGACCGCTTCGCCAAATTGGCGCCCCACAGCGCTTCTCCCGACAGCGCAGCGGCGCGGGTCACTTTGGGCCGCGCCTTCCTGCGGAGCTTGCAGCAGGGTCTGGACCTCAAGCCGGAGCACCGCGAGATCTTGGTGAAGGTCTTCCAGTCGCCCCAGTGCGACCGCACGGAGGAGGGCAATTCCTTCATCCCCCCGGACCCCAACATGGATTACACCTCCCGGCTGCGCAGCATGGTGCATGAGGAGAAGTCATTGCTGGAGCGCCGCAAGTTGCGGTTCTGCGACAAGGGCTTCATCGTGGGCAACGCCGGGCAAGACTTCCCCAGGTCTTGGACCTCGCGATTTCAGATCGAGAAGGACGGGCACGCGGCCAAGCCGGGGGTGAGCCCTACGGGGCTGAACAAGGTGGAGGTGGATCCCACCTTTGCGGCCAAGTTGGTGAACGAAGTCCTGCCCGCCGCGGCCCCCGAGTTCCAAAAGTCCACGGAGGATGGCACCAGCTTCCGCATCTACCATATTGGCAGCCTGGAGATTCGCACCACGCAGGAGAAGGACAAGGAAGAGAAGGTGGGCATCGTGTACTCGGGCAAGGCCGCCGGAACAAGTCTCGTGATGTCCTCCGTGGAGTTGCCGGAGCGCGAGAGGTTGGAGGAGATCAAGGTCTTCCTTGAGCCGGCGGAGGCTTCGGGGAGCCAGCCCCACTTCTATGTGGTCTGCCTGACCGTGAAGAAGAACATCATCGTCTCCGAGATGCTGGCGAACGGGACCAGCACCTTCCTGGTGAACCCGAAGAACCTGGAGGACCGAAACTCTTTGGCCAAGCACATGTTCCGCGCCGACTGCCTGGAGCTGACGGTCAGGGACCTCAAGGATCTGAAGACTCAAGCGCATCCCACGGGCGAGGTATCCATCTCTGCGCGGAAGCAGTACGTGAAGTCTGTCTTCAGCAAGCTTACGGGGAAGAGCTTCAAGGGCAAGTGGGGAGGCTTCATCCGCCGCTACGCGGGCCCCGCGGTCTTCCTGGGGGGGCCGCCTATGGCCATGCCGCGCACGGGCGGCCTGGGCACATGGTCCAAGTGAGGCGCTCGGGTAGGCTGTGCCCAGAACTCCTGAGATCCGTCTGACATCCTTCGTGAAGATTTGCTGGGCCTTGAGATGTGGGACCCACGAAATTGTTGCTTGCTTTTCGTCCCGCTTTAAAACCAACCCAAAACTGGAGCCCTCCCAGAAAAACACACGCTTCTGCCCAAGAACTGTCAGATAACGAGGCTGGTTCAAAAGACAAATCCGAGGGACGGTATTTGCTGGAGTTTTGGGAACAGTGAGTATCAGGAGAATAGGCGCATCATATTAGGCATGGAACCTGCGAACTTGGCAGCAACTTTCAATCGCAGACCCGTGAAACGGGACGGTTACCGCTGGTCCATCTTGCGGAAGGACCGCGCACGCAATGGAATCGGCTGCAGGCGGCTGGCACGGAAAACGCTGTTTTTTTGCTGTCCGCGTCAGGATGCCCTTCAACATACATACTCCTCGGTACGTTTGCGCTTGTGCAGGCAGGAGGTTCCCCTTCCAAAGTTGCCACCGGTCGGTTCCAATGAACCCGCGTCGGGAGCTCAAAGCAAAGGTGGGGGATTGAACACTGCCATGGTTCAGTCTACCCCTCGAAGGGACGTCCTGAAGGAGTTGATGATTGAGTCGCAGTGGGGTGCAAACTGTCCTAAGGCCCAACCGGTTGGGAACCTATGAGGAGTGCTTTGTACAAGCACTTTGTTTGCTTCAGGCGGTTGCGCGATGACGACCTCTCAGATGAGGACAACGAGATCGACACAGAGGTGATAAAGGACGAAGACCTCACCACCAGCAACGGCACCGCCACAGTGGGTGGCTTGGACGCTGCGGCGATTTAGACAAGAGGGGCGGATCGTGTCCTCTTTGTCCCATGCCTGCCGTTTCAAGCGGCCTGCATGCTTTAAGCTAAAAAAATTAAAAATGCTTGAACATGAAAACTAAAAGAAGGTACCAGCCGCCCGAGGTCGGTCCTTGGTTCGATGGTTCGAGGTTCCAGTCAAGCCCCCCATCAGGCGCAAGGACAGTGAGGGTTGACAAAGAACACATTTCCCTTTTCCAGAGGCTGGCTTGTTGATCGGAATCGGGCGTCCCATATTCAACCATCCCATTGTTCAAATGTGCAATCGGAATTCGGGAGATTCACTTCATATTCTGCCCAGGATGAACATGGGGAGATCCATGCGGCGAAAACCCTCAAAATTGGAAGCGACCCAGGCACCACATCATCTTTGGCTGCCACCAAGTATCGGAAGCTGGCGCGCAGCCTCACCGAGAGAAAGCTGAAACTCAAATCTGCCATGGGCTCTGCATCGGAGACGGCCACTTGGCCGACCAGCCAAATCTGAGCGTCCTTGACGCATCCTGAAACCCTGTTTTGCTCGCAGCAGTTGTGGCGCTTCCTATCCAGCATTGTCGTGTCTTGCGTGTGCAATTCAGATGCAACATTGTGGTTGTAGCCCAACTTGTAAGATTGCTAAGTAGCACTTGCTACAGCTTCTGAATGCTATTGTGAGCCTGTGCAATTTCAAGTGATTTCAAGTGCACCTGCTGTGCGGCTCGATATGCTTTCTTTCTATTTCTTTGCGACTTGTTCTTCCGCTTTGCTGCTTGCACTGCTGCTTGGGTTCCCTCCCCTTTGTTTGCTGCTGGCCGGCTTGCCGCATCTTACTGTTGCTTGGGGCGCCGCCTTTGGCAATAGTGAGAGGCAGCACTGCTTGTGTTGCGCTTGGGGCGCGCTCTTGTAAGCAACTTTTGCTGGGTCCTTGGTTTTTGACGTTGGCCTCCGATTCATATCCCCCCCACAAGATTGACAAGGTCGGATTGTAGACCCCCCCAATTAAAAAGCAAAAACAAGCAGTCCTCGCAACATTATGGGAAGACCATGTTATGTAGCATTGGGCAATACCATGAATGATTGAATTCGAAGCTCAAAGAAATGAGGATTCCATAGTTCCGGCGTGGAGGATTTCAAAAGGAATCTACAGGGATTCCAAAAGGATATGTTCAGTAAGTACCTGCGAGTATGCATTGAACGTATTGCTGTAAATTGGATGATGCATGTGCCTGGCTGCTGGGGTTTGAGGCATAATGTGCGCACATAGAAATACATACATATATATATATATATGCTTTACTTGTCCTTGATTTGTTGGGGATTGGGGTAGGGCCGGCCTATTCTGGAGGGCAAGATCAGGGTTGCAAGTCCTAGAGGCTGGGTATTGATTTGGTCCTGCGGCCCGGACTAATGAACTGAAATTGGATTTTGGGTTTGTTCCATTTTCCCGACTGCCTATGTACCTGGAGTCTCTATGACCCTTCAAAAATGGGGTCATGACCCCTTTATTTTGGGTAATGATATCATTTTTAAGGGTCACGGAGAGTCCAGGTAGCCCCCCCTCACCCCCCCAACACCCCCCCACCCCCCCACACCCCCCCACACCGCCAAACACCCCCCACACCCACCCCAGTCTACGACCTTGTTGCTTCGGTTCGCCAGGCCAAGCGGCGGCTCCATGTGCCTTGCTGCGGAGCGGCCCCGAACGAGGATTCCAAGCCAACGTCCCGGTTCTTCCGCAAGAAAGCGCTGAATGCCGGGCAAGTGGAGGCCACTTCCAGGATTCGCCCCCCTGGGGTTCCCAACTCCCCTTGGAAGAGCTGGTGCACTGTGCTTCACCTTAGTCTGGTGCTCAAAATGTGAATGGACCGTCAAGTCAGATGGGTCTGGTGGCCGAAAAGTGTGGCTTCAAGTAGCCCATGTCCTGTGGAATTGAAATGCTGGCCACCCACATGTGACATGAAGATAAACCTTTGGAACCAAATATGCTCAATATCCGCTCAGGGAAGTTTAAACGTACAGTTCAGCAAGCTAAACTAACGCAGTTTCAGCTTCTGTTGCAGGTGGCCAACAAGTAACCTGGGCTGTTCAAAACTCTGTGTGTGTGTGTGTGGAGAACGTATTGTTGGAAAAACTCGCTCAGAAGACTTATGACAATTGCGAGTGGCTGCTTAGGTGCTCTGACCTTGTCAATCTTTGTTGGTGCCAAATTACTTGTTTGCTGACTTGCAAGCTGTGGTGGTGATCATGTAGGTACCGTGTAGGAGGTTATTTGTTTGTGATATTCGTGCACGTGGGGAATGGGAGACCAATTTGGAGGGTCCCCTGTGTTGAGACAAACCGCACATGGCAGCTTTGGTGGAAATTCACTTGGGCTCGTGTAGCGGCCAAGCGGTTGGCCAGAGGTCTCCTTGCGGCTGGAGCCCACCGTGGCATCGCAAGAGGCCACTGCGCCGCTGCCGGAGCTGCTGTACACCGCGGTGGTGCAGCCGGAGAGGAGCGGCGGCACAGCTCCGGCCCCGTCACCCACACCTAATCGTACTGACACGCACCGAGGATGGAGGAATTATGCGAAACCATGTCGAGGATTTGTTTGGTCAGGGCCTGCGCATCATGCGGCTTTCTAGGAAGTGATGGTGACAAGATGAGGAAGTATGCAGACACAGGTCGCCTGTTGTCGGGGCCTACTGCGAGTCATGCGGCTTGTGAGGAAGTGATGGTTGACAAATAAAGAGCGCCTTTCATTTTCAACCCAGGGCGAAGGGCAACGCATGGTAGAGTTGTCTTGCGTTTTGGGAATCACCTAGCATCCCTTTCTTCAAGCTTAGGGTCGTCTCATCTGACACGAAAGTTCCAGGAAGGGGATGGCCGCCCTTCATGACGTTGGCTGAAGTATTACTAGGCAATCTGGAGGACCATGTGGCTGGTTTCATGGCGCGTGCTGAGCTGCCACCAGGTTCTCAAATCAATCCCAGGTGTAAAAGTGTCTCGCTCAACCTTTACAGAATTTTGGGCTAAAGCGTTAACCGTAGGTGGTCGCTTGTCTTGACTCTTAATAAGTATCCACTTGGGCCACCATTTTGGCTCAAGTGGACCTTTTGATCTTTGGTCTTGTGATTTGAAATCTTTCTTTCCCCTACTCTCAAAGCCATGTACGCCCCCGCCTACGCTGGTGCCGCGGTAGCAGAGGCCAAGGCTAAGGCAAAGGCCTCCATGGCAAAGTACCTGGCGAGCCTCGTGAAGAGGGAGGAAGAAGGATGGACCGTTTTGGCTGCCGAGGTCCCTCAGGCACCTGACGAGCGTTTCTTCTCCAGCGCAGATGAGTTGGAGCAGACCCCTCTCATCCCGGCCAAGCGCAAGGCAGAGGATGAGCCGATGGAAGATGCAGCCCCTGGGGTGGCGCAGGTGCCGAAGGCCCTGACACGCCCCCCAGGGGCGTTCCTGGAGCTCCTGAACCCGCCGGAGGAGGACGTGCCCATGGAGGAGCTCCGGGCGCAGGACGAGAAGGAGCTGCCGATGCCCAGGTCCCCCTCGGCTGCAGCCCGCTTGGAGGAGACCCGCCTGGATGCCCGGGCAGACGCCAAGTGGCAGAGGCGCCGGGAGCTGATGGCGAAGGTCAAGGAGCAGGCGTCCTCGGAGGAGGATGAGAACCCCGCAGCCCCCCCGCCGGGGGGGAGCGTGTTCACCAAGGCCCTCAAGGTCTCGGAGGGCCTCTACCAGTTCAGCGACGACCAGATGGCGGGCGACTTCCCTTGCTTCGATGCGACCACGGCCACTAGGCTCCGCCGACTGCAGGCCAAGGACGTCCAGCGGCTCCTGCGAGGCTTTGAGGGCCCCCAACTCAAGCAGGGGGGCCTGGAGCGCGTTGTGGAGGCCTTCTACATCGCCAAGATGAAGTACGAGCATGAGGCCCGGCTCAGCACCCCGGGACAGCAGGTTGGCAAGCGCGCTGGCTTGGGGTACGGGGGCCTGGAGAACCGCCCCCTGGGCAAGGTGCCCACATCCTGGATCTGCCCCTGCTGCACCATGCCCTGGGTGAAGAAGGGCGCCACGAAGTGCATGGGGTGCGGCAAGAAGACGGAGCCCATTGACATGGCGACCAACTCGGCCACCCTGGAGATGCAGGCACGCATTGGCAGTTGACGGTGGATGACCAGGGCAATGCGGTCTGGACGGCGGCCCGGTCCGCAGGTGCCGAAGGCCCTGACACGGACCGGGCCCGCGACCTCAAGCTCAGTGCCTCGGTGGACGTCAGCGAGCTGGCCACCGACCCGATGGCCTGCGAGAACCCGGACCAGGCCAGCTTCTCGGACTTCGTCCCCTCCTCGGTCCGGGCGGTGATCAGGAACTGCCCCATGGAGCTGGACGAGGAGTTTCTGACGGCCCCACCGGGGGAGAGGCCCCCATTGCCAGGCGACAAGGAAGAGGGCCAGGAATGCAGAGCCTTCCACCCGTCTGCGGTGAAGGCCTTCAAGATTCAGACCCGGCTCAACGCCACCACCATCGCCCAGGAGGAGGCCAAGAAGGCGGACCAGGTGGAAGCGGTGGACCGCTCCGCGGCGGTCCTCCACGAACTTCAAGGGGGGGCCATTGACGGAGGAGGTGATGGAGGCCTGCTCCTGAAGAACCTGGACTTGGACCTCTTCCGTGAGAAGCTGCTGGACAAGCTGGGTGCGGACTGGGGGAGACCCACACCGGAGCTCCTCCAGGCCCAGACCACTGCGGAGGAGGCGAAAGCGAAACACCAAGCCACACAGGCGAAGGGCTCCCTCGAGACCAGGATGCTAGCGCCCATCGCGCCTCCCTTCAGTGCGTGGCCCAGTGAGGTCCGGGTCGCCATTGAGACTGGGGTCTTCGAGCCGACAACGGCATGGAGGGACTTCAGTATGGACGACCTCACATCGCTCACGGACTCCTACCTTGAGGCCAAGGCGGTCATCTCGCTGGGTAGGAATCCCTTCCCGGCGGCCCTCCTGTCAGATCTGCTATGCCAAAGGCGGGGGGCTCTGGTGCGGCGCGCCCAGGTGCCGAGGGCCCTGACAGGCCGCCCACCATCTCCTCAGCCTCGGGCTCTGGCGCGACGAGCTCAGGTGCCGAGGGCCCTGACAAGCCGTCCGCCACCCCGGTGGGCCTGGACACCAAGGACCCGGAGGTGCAGCTCGCGGTCCTGCGCTGGATGATGAGCAAACGGGTCGGAGAGGTCCGTATCTTTGCGGGCCGCTGGGTCCGACGACCGGGCCCGGTACACGTCCCGGATTGGGCGGAAAACCTCACCAAGGTGAATCCGGAGGCGTTGGAGAAGGGTACGCATCCCAGGAACCACCAGGTGGGTGGACTCCCCTGGGCCAGGTACTCCGTGGATGAGTTGAACCAGCAGGCGAAGGCGGGGGACCGACCCTACCCTGGGGACCTGCGATCCATCTTTTGGGCTGCCCCCCACGATCCGGAGGAGGATTTCCACTGGATTCGCCAGATCTCGTCCTCCCAGGCCTACTGGGGATGTTCGGGCACAGCTACACCCTGCGCCAGCTCTGGGAGTCTGGGAGTCTCTGCCTCTGCTGCAGGGCCCTAGGCAGCGGGGCCCGAGAAACAAGGCCCAGAATCAGACCCGTCTGGAGAGCTGGGAGACCCTGAAGGAGGACGCGCGGTGCTTCCTGAAGGAGGAGGGCCTTCCGTTTCCGCAGACAGGACCGGAGTGGCGATTGGTCTACCGGGCCATGGGCAAGGTCCTCGCGGCCCGGGCCTTCCTCACGGACACCCCGGCGGAGGTGATGCAGCTCCCGGTCCAGGACGTGGCGGACTCCAAGGAGCAGATGATCCTGCGGGCGGTATGCGACGAGCGCATCTCGGTCCCGGTGGAGAGCCTCCAGCAGTTCCCAGAGGTGTACAAGGCCCTCATGGACCGCATTGGAGGCCCGGGGGCCCTGGCGGAGGTGAAGGTCAACTGGCGCTGCAACACGAAGCAGTGGTGGGTCGGCGCAGTCCCCGACTCAGTGGCCCCCTCCATCTACCGCAAGCTCGGCTACACCAACGACATGATCAAGCTGATGGGCCTGGACCCCTCCGCCCCTGGGTGCCGGACAGGTGCCGATGGCCCTGACATCCGCCCCAGGGGAGGCGAGGGCGATGAGGGGATCGTTTACCCCCCCATCACGGCGGACAACGTCCACGGCGTAGTGGGTAAGGTCTACCGGAAGAAGAACTATCCGGTGGAGATGAAGCATGTCTTCTGGGCGCACATGGAGTGTGGCCTGGTCCTGAGCTCCGTCACCCCGTGGGAACTCATCCCGAAGACAAAAGGGGAGACCCGGGGGGGCTACATGTGCAAGTATTGTAAGGGGTACTGGCGTGCCGGGGGAGGGGGCACCCGCCTCCTCCAGATCCGGGCCGGCAAGGCCATCTTGCAGCTGGTGTTGGACGAGCCGCCGGAGGGCCTCTACAACCGCTGGGTGAAGGAGCGGCTGGAGTACTACCGCCGGGTGGAGCCCTCGGCCCCGTTGCGGGACGTCTCCATCGTGGACCAGAAGGTGCCTAGATTCAGATTCAGCCAGGCCACCCAGACAGGCCACGTCTCCAATGCCATCTGGGAGCTGATTCTGCGGAATCCGGAGGCTGCTGCGCTCAAGCGCATAGATGACATCGCGAAGAGGGCCGCGTGATGATGCGGGACAACGCCATCTTCCGGCACATCATCCAGAACCGCGGCCATCCGGAACGGATGCGCAGCGCACCCTGGGGGTGGGACAGCTGCCGAAGGCGCTGATATCCCCCCCCAGGGAACAGCGCAGGCCCAGACCTGCACCAGGCGAGGAAAATTGGCGCGGCTTGGGCTAATCCGGGGTGCGCCTGGTTCCCCTCTCTTGTTTGGTTTTCCCTTTTCGGGGCGGCTCCCTGGGTCCCCCTTTTTCCCCCGTTCCCTCCGTTTCCGGGGTTTTGGGGGCCCCCCCCCCCTGTTGTTTGGTTGGGGTTGGCACCTAGGGACTAAGCCCCCGGCTCGAGTGGATCATGATGATGTGGAGGCCCCGCCTCCCTTCCCCGTTTGGGACGACCTTCCTAGGGGCGCCAACCGCGCTCCAGTTGATTTTGCATGACCTTGGATTTGCACCAGTGCAGTCGGACGGGGAAATCCTCGTGGCGTGCTGCCTGGAATGGGTCAAAAAGGACAAGGTCGCCAACCCGGATGCGGTGGTCTTTGACCCGCGGCCGTGGACACGGATCGTGGGGCTGGCACCTGACGGCAACCACGTCCTGGTGGCCTCGGACACCTACAACTTGATCCTCGCGAGGATACTCGGCTCCCAACCACAACCGCTGGAGGAGGCGGATTTGGAGCTCGCTACTAAGACCCTGCAACAACTTCTGTTTCGTGCGGCAGGCGCCAGGCAATCGCACACCTATTCTCCACTGGAAATGGAACAGGCCATCCGGGACCGCGAAGAGTGGATCCTTTCCGGATCGATTGAGGCCCCGGATGTCCTGGCAGTGGCCAACAAGTGG